GGTCCCTTCCAATCTGTATCTCTCTCTCCCTCTCTTTTCTTTCTCTCTCTTGTTGAGAGATCCAGCTCTGTATATAGATACAGAGAATAATCAACTGATGGTACAGAAGTTGCCCTTGGAAGTTATGGGAGCTTCATCACTGGAGACTTTCAAGAAGAGATTGGACTGCCATTGGTCAAAAATGGTGTAGGGTCTCCTGCTTGGGCAGGGGATTGGACTAGATGACCTACAAGGTCCCTTCCAACTCTGTTAATCTGTAACCCTTCAAAAGATGCAGAAATGCATTGCACCTACAATATTGGAGGACCACAAGGAAGTGAGCTGTCCACCAGCCACCCACACCTTTCAGAACCAGATGCAGAGGAGGGAGGGGGCATAGATTTATTTGTGTGTTTCGGGGTGTTAAAAGGAAGATGGAGGAAGCAAACTTTTTTTTTTTGGCGGTAAAATAGAGGCATGAATCCCACAATCACGGCAGCCATATTGGCTTTTCTCATCCCCCTGATGACGCCCCTGGCTTATTGCCTTAAAAATACAATATTTTATTTCCACTGGAAAGCCCGTTTCATTTACAAACCACCCTAAAATGGCAATAAAGCAGACAAGTGCAGTCAAAGAAAGAAAATATAAGTCAAAGGGGTTGGGTGGGGGAGTCAGACGTTTTCACACATTCAACACCAATTTATTACGGTGTGTCATTTTCTTCTCCTTCTGTTTGTAAGATTTATTTTCTGTTTTTAAGTAAGGCAGTACATTTCCATCTTGTTTTGACCTGTCTCAAGGCACAGCTCCAGGCAGGGACTTTAGAAGTCACAGAAGCTTGAATAGAGAGATCTCCATTCTCTTCCCTGACCCAGAGGAAGGCTTCATTTGTGGGTGTAAGGCCCAGACTCTCTCCCTTCAAACGATAAGAATGAACTTCTGAAGGACTGGTTACTTCAAAAGGAATTCGTTATTGTGAAAAGAAAGTTACCCAGGTACTAGTCAAAGCAGGCTCTAATATGCCTCCAGGCATACAGTATAGATAAAGGGAGTTAGAACCCCTCCCCTTATTCTGATGTGGATTTAGTCAATACAAAGAAGCAACAAGTTAATTCCCCCCCCTTTTTTTTCTGGGAACTTAGCTTAGAAACGTTTCCCAGGAAGTTTCTTTCGGAGCTGGAATTTTTATGGCCCCTTCTCCTTTCTCTGCTATCTCTCCAAGAGGTGGCATGTTTCCAGGCGTCTGGGCTCCAGTCCTCCAGTTGTATATCATGTGCAAATTATACAGATTCAGCACAAGACTTAAAATATTCAGGTTACATCCAAAAGAATTACTTGTACCAACTCCCCCCTCCCCTTTCTTCTTCCATGGAAGAATGGCAGACACAGAGATCTGGCAAGTGGAGGCCTTTTGAAGTAGATGCTGCCTTCCTTTTGTTTTTCTTTTTAATTTGATGGTGGACTTTGTTCCGTGATACATGACATCTTTTATGTGAGCCTTGTCTGAGATCCAAAGCTCGGGTTTTTAAGTGATTAAGCCATGCTTTGGTTAAAGCTCAAGATATTTTAAACCTTTTGGCTTCAGGGGAAAAGATGCAAGCAGCACATCCTTGATTTCCTGGTTAGTTAAGAAAGATCCCCAAGACTCCACTCTGGCCCTTTGTGAAGCAGGTCCCAATGCTTGTGCCAAGGATTTTGGAAAACGGTGTGACTATTCTAGCCTTGCAATAGACCAAAGTCTGCTTCAAGTGGAGCTCCAGGCCTAGTGGCTTCAGGGCAGAGGTGCTATTCAGCAGGTTCTGACCAGTTCTGGAGAACAGGTAGCAGAAAGTTTCAGTAGTTCGGAGAACTGGCAAATGCCACCTCTGACTGGCCCCGCTAACCCCATCTATTCTCTGCCTCCCATTGAGTCCCAGCTGATTGGCTGGGTCTTCTTTTGTTACCCTTGTCATGTCCCTGGTGGAGACTGACTGAGGGAGAGGAGGAACAGCTAACAGGGAGTGGAAGTGTGGCTCCGGAGGTTGTGGAGGAGGCTTGGGAAGGGCAGAGGCCGGCTGGGCAGTCAGAGGAGGACCCAGGCCCATCCCCTCTCCATCCTAGGGCACGCAGGGAGGAGAGGATAAGGGAGAGATGTGGTCTATGGGGGAGGAGAGGGCCTTGGTCCTCTTCATGGGCTGCAGCTGTGACAACAGGATAAGAGGACAGACATGCGTATGGGCGAGTGCTGGAAACAAAGCATGGAAATATCTCTATTTATTGTTCCTCTGAGTTTGGTGTCCTTCCCAGTGTGTGTTCTGCTATCTGTGAACGTCTTCAAGCCCTTATCTTGCTGGTTTGTGTTGTTTTTTACTCTTTATAATTTATAGGCATTTTTAGTTTAAACGGGATTTCCTCCTTCTTGTAACTGCTCGTGTGGGAGTTTTTTGTCTCCAGTCAAGGATATTTGTAGCTTGGAAGCAAAGTGAAGCAATAAAAGGGGCTTTACCTGTTTTTTGTGACTGTGTTTATTTTGGATCATCACAATCCTGCACAGGAGAATGGAGCTGGAAAGCAGGTTAGTGGGGTGGGGTGGGAATGGGATTTTGCAGTAACCTTCCCCTGCCACTCATACAAAGCCATACCCACAGAACCAGTAGTAAAAAAAAATTGAATCCCACCACTGCTTCAGGGCCATCCTGAAGTTGCATTCTTGGCTTTTCCATTTTCTTCACCTTTAGAATTTCTCATCTAGCCAGCCTGCAGTTTCCTGACAGTCTCTCATCCAAGTTTTAACCAGGTGTGGCCCTACTGTTGTGTGCCTGAGCTGACTTTATGTAATGGGCTTTTAAAAAAAATTCTTCCCATATTTCCTGAAGCCTCCTCAGCTGAAAAAAAAAAGTGGGGTCTGTTCTGACCAAGGCTTCCTGAGACACCAACAAACACATAAAATCCAAGACCCTTTTATTTTAGTTCAGTGGCTGTGAATTATCGTCATTCACAGCCTGGAATGAGTCTTAACCGGCTATAATTAGTCCCAGGGACGCCTGCCAAAGTTCTTCAAAAGACATCTGATAAAAATGCACCTTATCTGATTTGAAGTGCTGCCAACGACTAAAGTCCCAATTAGTCTTTCCAAACCAAATGGAGAACCACAGAGCTTTCAGGTTCTAAACCAACCAGAGTGAACGATGTTGCTTCCTGCAAAGGTTTTCCTACCTTTGTACTTCCTTTATACCTTATGCAAGGGGCAATTACCTCCAAGCCTTACTCCTGAGTCGCCCCTTTTGTTCAGAGGTTTTGCAGTGTAAATTCAGTGCCAGAAAAGTAAACACAGATGTCTGAGACTTCATTTAACTTCTTTATAAACACATAAAGTAAATTTTACAATACCAGTTGTAGATTTCTCCAACATGGAGCAAACTCACACAGAAGCAGACATGTTACAGGTTCAGAGAAGAACAACAACTCAGGAGCTCAGAAGCAGACATCAGTTTCACTTTAGTTCAGCAGGCAAGCAAGACACACACAGCAGAGGAGAGAAGCAGTTTCATTTTCAATAGACAGACTCTGAGCTTAATATAGCTTCAGAGCTGCAGAGCTTAATATAGAGCCACACCTAAGCTACTTCTAGTTTCATTTTTCAAACAGTCCTCATTGGCTGCCTTAGTTGCTATGTCTATTCATTGGTCTATTCCAGTTCATGAATATACTCTGACACCTTTTGTCTTAGCTGCTCTTGCCTTCTGGCAGCTCTGCGCCCATGCACACTGAGAACAGGCTCCCTTTGTTCCTCTTCCTCACTGCTGTCAGATTCTGGAGGCTCTGGAGTCAGCACACCACTCCCAGATGGCCCTGGGCCCATCTCTGTATTGGATGCAGGACCCTCGTCCAAGTCCTCTCCAAGACTTCCGATCTGGTCCCTGTTTTCCCCACTTGCCCGATTCTGCCGCCGCACAGGCTGCCAGCGAACCACAACAGGATGGTTGTCCAACCCTTCCAAGAGTTGGTGAAGAGTTTCTGGTAGAATGGAGAATTGCTTTCTCCAGTCAGGAGATTCCATGACTGAATTCCAAGCATGATTATTCTTATCAAACATGGATATTCCTGCTTGTAAGGATTCAAGAACATTTGTAGTAGCCATACTCGAAAACTGCAATTAATTTTTGTGTTCATTTTTCCCAGGTTGACAATTAGTAGGTTGAACTTAAATTAGCAAAGGAGTTAGTTTGGGGAATAATAACTGTTCTATCTGACTTTAATTACTTTATAATTCTCTCCGGGTAGCTTTAAAAATCACAGTGGCTCAGCTCTGGTTTTCCTCGGTTATTTTTGAACTGGCCTGTTAAGCCTTAACCAAAGATGAAAGGTGCCTGGGAAAAAAGCACTTTTCTGAAATCCAGGAAAGATGGACGTATTTTGAATGTTAGATGGGACATTGTTTTACTGGAAGGATGAGCCAAGCTTCACCCTTGGAAAAGCATCACAACCACACTTGCATCACCTGTCCATTTTGACTTGGCCACTGCCCTTCCCTGTCACAATCGAGCCCAAGATGCTCTGCTATGACAGGCCGTGGAGCTGTAACAACGTCCAGCTCTAGTTACCAACCTACCCAATGTCCCAAACTAAGCTACTTGCTCCTGTTCTATAGTTGCCTCTTCTTTTCCTTGGCTAAAAAAAATTCCAGCTGTGAGACAGGACACAATTAATATGCTGCTACCTCTCCTTGAAGCCCCAAATCTTGTTTGCTAGAGCAGGGGTCTCCAACTTTGCTGGCTGAGGAATTCTGGGAGCTGAAGCCCACAAGTCTTAAAGTGGCCAAGGTTGGAGAGCCCTGTGCGAGAAGGCTCTTCCTCCCAATCTCTGCTGGTGGGTTTTGTTTTTATTTTATTTTCTGCAACTCTTTTGTTCGCCAACTTAATCTCGGGTCTTCACCCCATCTATCTATTCCCTCTCATTCTCTGAGGAATAGATGCCAAACCACGCTCCCCTGTTGTGCTCCTGCTAACCAGGGCTATGTTTTATCCATACCTCTGCAGGGAATAAATCACAGGACAGTGGGATTGCCGAGATGGAAGAGCTCCCAGTTCCTCACAACATCAAGATTAGCAACATCACTTGTGATTCTTTCAAGATTTCATGGGAGATGGACTCCAAGTCGAAGGAACGTATCACCCACTACTTCATTGATCTTAATAAGAAAGAAAACAAGAATTCCAACAAATTTAAGCACAAGGTAAGTCTTCCATTACTGTTGGCAGAAGAACCTGCATGAAGCCACACAGAGTTCTGATTTCTATACTCAAATCCTCATGTCCCTACCCTAGTATTAGGAAGGGGGAAATCATTTTAAATTGCTGACACAAAACGGGTTTTCCCAAAGAAAGGGAACCCCAAGTGTAGGCTTCTAGCTCAGACTTAATTTTTTCTAACATCCTTACAGCGGTTTGATATCTCTGTTTAATCCAGACCATTACATGTTATAATTCATCAGGGGCTGAATAGGCGTTTGATTTCGTTGTCTTTCCTGCAAAGTTGGGGGAAATTGAAAACCGAACGTGTGTGGTAAATCATGTTGGATTTTCCCTTAGGATTTTTACAGTAGTAATCCTTTACACATTTATCACAGAGGAAACACCATTACAGTTATGCGGGATTAATTCAGGGTTATAAATACAGCAGTCACGTGATAATTTCTATATCATTTCATGAATGTTTGCATTAAATGTGTTTGGAAATGTGCATTTTCACAAATGCATCTCTCCTAATACATCCGTTTCTTTGTATCCTTCCAAGGTTATATATGCAAGTTGCTTTCCTAAGATAATGCATTTATATTTATGACATCATGAGGTGCTGATTGAGCCGGCACTCAACCCATAGGTGAAACTGGGGTAATGCTAATTGACCAGTGGGAAGAATAAATGCATTATTGTGTGTGGGGTTTGGAATAGCATGCAAAAGAGGCTCACATCAAAATAACTTTAACTCAACGCATTAGCTTGGCATGAATTGAGCTGAAGATCCCAGAAACAGTGGAAGGTTCAATTTTTGTCTGAACCTTCAGCTCAATTCATGCCAATCTACCTTTATTGTGACTCCGTAGTTAGGTACATGCCACCAAGTCTGTATGAACAGTAATAGTATGGACAAAGGATGGACATCTTGAATTGTTTTTAGGTAACAGTCAAACTGGTTTTGAAACTTTCTTAGGTATTATCCACTTCAAATGCCTCAACAATTCCCAGATTTACAAAAATTAATTATAAAGAGAAAGAGAATGGAAAAGCAATTTGAACCATTGTCTTCTTAAAAGTACATTTGTTTCTTTGTACGTAATCATTGCAATAGTAAAATAAATTCTTCCCTTTTATCAAGCTGTTGTTGTTTAAATGGTCAAGTACGTCACTCAGTTACTGAATCATATTCACTCTGGATAATTTTACATCAATGTTGCATAGCTTTCTGCTTCAGACAGAGGAAAAGGTGCTATTTAGAAAGAAAGATGGTAAATACCCAAATTCTCAAGGGTTTGCCCTGTAAAGTACTTTGGAAAAAATAAAATATGCATTTAAAAGACAATAAATATTTGACAGCTAATAATATGTTTTTAAATCCTGACCCTGAAAATGTCAGAAGGCTGTTATAAAAACAACAAGAATTATTTAGCCCAACTAAAGCTACCTTAACACAGGTGCTCCCAAAATTATTAGTCTTCTCACTCCAATTGTGATAGGAATGTGTTAAGTCAATGACAGAGTTCCAGGTACAAATGTGAACCTCCAAAAACCTGGGTTTATGTCAGTCTAGCGTCGCAAGCCTAAATGTGATTTATTTTTATATACACAACAATGTGAAGTCACCACTGCTGGTTTTTTAGTTGGTGTTGGCCTTCATAAGCATCATGTTCTTCCCAAGAACATGGAATATCATACCATATCACGGTTAGTATATGTGCAGACCTAAACAGTCTGACCTTTTGCCACTGACAGATGGAAATTGTGTCACTGCACAATTTCTAAGAGTCGTCCAAGGTTTTTTGATATTTTGGTTTTCTGGAGAAGCACTGGGACCATTCCAGCTGGTTTATGCCACAGTTGTTCCACTTTGATTTTCAGATCTTGATACTTCATGATCTTCTCCAATTCTTTGTTTACTATCTCCTGATATTGGCACCATCAATTAACCACACTTCCTTCAGTTCAACCACAGTTATATCTGGTGCATTGTGCGCCAAAACTTTGTCGGTCTATATTCAGAAATCCCTCAATGTTTTAACTTGTTCATTTTTCAGCTCCTTTTTTTAACTTGTATGTTCTCACCAATTTTTTTTGTCATTGGCCTGTGATAATTTTTACAGATGTTCCAATGAAGTATTTTGATATCTGTGCCATCATGGTGTTTGCGTTATCGTTGTTATTAATGTATGTAGAGGCCACAATACAAAAATATATACAGATCTCCCTTTAAAGGGAACATTTAGAAGGTGCTCTGCTCCTCAGCTGAACAATCTTATATGGGTAGTCCTCGACTTACACTATTTGTTTTGTGACCCTTCAAAACTACAACTGCACTGAAAAAAGTGACTTTTGACTATTTTTCACACTTATAACCATTGCAGCACCCTTGTAATCATGTGATTTCCATTCAGATGCTTGAAAATTATAGCTGTGTGAAAAAGTCCTGCATGCTTTATACTTTATGGTTTATGACATTTTTGGGATAGACCATTGATTTTATGCTATTTTATGCTTCTATGCAAATATTGTTATATTTAAATAAATACTGGTGGTTTTTAAGTGAAAAGCATAAGCTTTTTGCAATTTGGTGCTGTTTGGATGGGGGTGAATTTTCTTGCATGCTTACAATGCATGCTTACAATGACTATGAAAACAGATTAACTGATGCATACCCAGTGGCATGCGTGTTGCAATTATTAAGGCTGATGCTAGTGTTTTGTTAACATTTTTATTGTTTGTGGCCCTGAAAAGGACTGTTTAGGTAACCAAACATGGTTACTAATATGAGATTGGCCAGCCCTTATTGCTGATCACCAGGTGGCATCGCTTTGGCATAGACTGGATAAGCCTTTGCACGTGAACTTTGGTGAGAATGTGGTGTCTTAAAAAGACTTATATCAATAAAAATTATGCATCTCAAACCGAGTATAGAAATTTTCATCAAAGTACTAATTTTGCATGGTTTCTATGAGTGAAAAGTTGATCAAAGAGGTGTAAATACAGCTTAAAACTGAAAGTGTGCAGGACTTTTTCACACAGCTGTAACTCAAATTTATGCCAGTTGAAGAGTCCTCGGGGGTCATATGATCCCCTTCTGACAAGCAAAGTCTATGGGGAAGCTAGATTCACTTAACAACCTATTAATTTAATAACTGTTGTTACTAATTTAACAATTAAAAAGATTCACTTAACAAATGTGGCGGGAAAAGTCGTAAAAAGTCATTTAGCAAATTTCTCACTTAGTAAGATAAATTTTGGGCTCAGTGAGGACTGTATGTATTCCTTTTGGAGAGAAGAAAGGAAAATCTTTTGTGTGTGTGTGTGTGAGGGAATTCCACAATACTGGGACTATGACAAGAGTTGTTTCCTTGGCTGGTAGTGGTCTTTCATTCCTGAAAAGACCCAAAGGGCACGGATAGCTGATCTCTGGGACTAAACCTGCCCCATCACTGTTTGAACTGGGCAGGCAAGCAAATGAGCAACTGGTACTATTCCTGCTGTTGCACACCCAAGCATGTTCTCACTTCTTCCCTCCCCATCCAAAGTGGAAATTGCGTTTGCACTGAAGTGTGATGGAATGTGAGAGATTATGGGAAGAACAGGATGGGCTAATAGACATAAACAGTCAAGAGACAGTCGGTAGCTCAGCTCACGAACGGCAACTCAACCCAGGTGGAAAGTTCATCCAGATCATCCAGACCAGCGGTTGCCAACCAGTGGGCCGGGGACCACTGGTGGTCTGTGAGAAAATTTTGGTGGTCCGCAGAGAAATGTCAGCCCCAAAGCAATTAATCCAGGCTGCGCGGGAACACAAGGCTTGCGTCACTTGCATTGTGAACAACACAAGGTAGTGAGGGGAGGGGGGAAAGGGTGGAGGGGGGAACTTGCCCCACTCGTCCCACGCGCCTCATCTGGCCACCAGGCTGCTTCTTTCTTCTTCTTTCTTCTTCTGCTTTTGGCTGCATGCAAGGAAAGCAGCAAAAGTCTTTCTTTCTCTCCCCCAAACTCCATCAAAAATGAGTCTTTGGGATTCTGCAAGGCCGAAGCAACAAGTCTCACCAAAACTAATTTCTGGTTGAGTTTGTGGGGGGGGAGAAAGAAAGGCTTCTGCTGCTTCTGCTGCTTTCCTTGCATGAAACCAAAAGTCTCTCTCCCCCTGAGAACAGAGCTGGAGACGGTATCCTGCGATCCCAAATAAAGAACGATCGATCGGTAGGAAAACAGGGTGGGGAATTTTCCTGCGGACTTTTTTGGGGATTGTCCCAGGGTCTCTGGTCCATGGGATTTAAAATTATGAGTTTGGTGGTCCCTGAGATCCAAAAGGTTGGCGACCCCTGTACTAGACTAACGTTAAATTCCTTGTGTGTCCAATCACACTTGACCAATAAAGAATTCTACTCTATGAAAGATTCCTTTCAGGAATCTGTGTAGTTCTTCCTTCCATGATCACACCTGTTTTGTTCTGGAAACAAAACTCGAAAAAAACGTTTGCAATTTTCTCCTCTTCTGTTCTCCTGCAGCCCTCGGGGCTCTCCCTGACAAGGTGACTCTCTCCTTAATTATCTCCACTGCCAATAGCAGCTTCCATGTCAATCGCTGGCCTCTAGTCCAAGTGAGTTATTCTGTTTCTGAGGAGCTTTACGAACTTCATTAATGATCTTCTGCTTCTGAAGCATTTACTAGGTCCCAGAATATCCCTGCTCTGCTGAAACAGTGGTCTTCAACTCTCAAAAAAAAACCAAAACCCAGTCAACTTGACCTTTTGTAAGATCCATTTTAGCCTGCAATTCTGAGCTTTGCTGCCTGAGAATATGCCTCCTTTGATGACATTCATCGCTCGAATATATCTGGGATATCATATAATAATATATGATATCCATGTTATGATCTTTTTTTCTCCAAGACCATTTTGCTCCCTCTTCCAGCATGACTACCTACTTAGTGAATGTTTCTTATTCGTAGCTACTATGGTCACTTCTGCCTGGAGAATTGGATATTCAGATATATAAAGGAACGATATCTATGAATATCACTGAGTCTGAATAAGGATGGTATTTCAGTAATTACAAGAGAAGGAGGTAGAAACTCAAAGGTTGACCTGCTCTGTTGAAGAGGCAACATTTTGCTCTTCCCAGGGAGGGTTGGATGCCATCTCGTTTTGCTTCCAATTAGACCAGTAAAACAAACCAGGAAGGCTCACTGAATCCTGATCTGTATAACATTACTTACAAACCAGGGTCCATCCTTTGTAGCTGTTTTAATAAATGGCTATTCCTGTTTATTTTCATTATTCTTGTATTTCTCACTTATACTTTATTTATGCAATATTATTCTAATCAGATAAGAAGAGAAACTCAAAAAGGATGGCCTTCTTTTCTATTAGGGGGACATATTTCAGATTATCTTTTATTCTTATTCTTTATTTATGACACTGTTCATTCGTGATACATCTTTAGAGGGGGAAAGTAACGGTGGTTGTGTATTTTATTAATTGCAGTATTTCCTGTATAATATTTTATTGGTTGTATTAGGTTTTCGCTTCTAGGAAATGTTTTAAGATTGGTGTGAAGGCTCACTTTTCCACAGATATGTTATCCTGTATTTACCCTGATTTGTCTTAATCTGTTTAGGATTACCAGACTGTTGGCCTGCCATAAATAGCTTCCAAGAAGCTTTCATTGTAATGGATGGTAAATGGCACGCTTGAAAGAACTGTCTTACAATATGAATAGCTTTCGAAATCTGGTCAAATATAAGAAACACCCTGATAATCTCCTTTCACAGAAGCCCACCCACCAAATAGTAAACCAGAAATGCTAAAGAAATTTTAATTGGAAGATGAAGTCATTGCCTATGAAATGTGGAATTGCTATAATACTTGCAACCACATTCTGATTCCATCTCTTCTGCCTATTTAGATATCTTTCTCAAGAAAATGAAGAAATATCTCTAGTTTCCATATTTAGGACTACTGTATCTGGGCTGTAATAATTCAAATTGCCAGAAGATGGCAACACATCAGGATTAGACTTTGCAATATTACCTTGCTGCCATCTAGTGGACTTCTAGATGTTTGCTAATGCCATTCAGATGATGCAATGCCAGCACTGGCAAATAATTCTGCTTCTCCTAGCTAACCAATATGTTATGTTTGTTAGCAGAACTAATGTAAGAGAAGCATTCAGGAAATGCCAATTTCCTTCCTTCCTTCCTTCCTTCCTTCCTTCCTTCCTTCCTTCCTTCCTTCCTTCCTTCCATGTCATAGCCTATCCCCTGAATGATTATCTTATATTTGTCAACTAACAAGAGAAAATAACATTCAAAACCTTTGAATTCTAGTGAGAAACTAACCCGATCCAGAACCCCCAATCACAGGTATCTGGAAAAAAGCATGATGAATATCACATGCATCATAATACACTGTAGAAATAATTTGACGTGCATTGTGTAATTTTGTATTGTTTGTGTGGTGGTGTCCTAGCACAGGGTGTTGCTTGTCCGCTCCACGGCTGTTCTTCTTGAAAGTGGAGAATACCAAGGTGGGGAGAAGAGGTTCAACAGTTGGGAGGCTGACTTATCTTCTGGAAGTCTTTCTGTCTTCTTACTTTTTCCTCCCTTTTTCCTACACAACTAGGATGTGCCTACAAAACTAGTGGCAAAAGCTGTCCCCCTGCCTATGACTGTCCGTGGCCACTGGTTCCTGAGCCCACGGACTGAATACACAGTTGCTGTGCAGACGGCCTCCAAGCAAGTGGATGGAGACTACACAGTTTCAGAATGGAGTGAGATTATTGAATTCTGTACGGCAGGTGAGTCTTCTGCCTGTGAGAACCAGCCTATGGTTCTTGTCAGAAACAAATGGCAGTTAAAAGAAGCAGAAATGGCTGGGTGCCAGAGTGGCCACTGTGGCACAGAGCAGTGGTGGGATTCAAAAAAATGTATTACCAGTTCTGTGGGCGTGGCTTGGTGGGCACGGCAGGGGAAGGATATCCCCATTTCCTCCTCACCCCACTAACCTGCTTTCCAGCTCCGTTCTCCTGGGCAGAGCAACCAAAGAAGACCCAGCCGATCAGCTGGGACTCGATGGGAGGCAGAGAAGAGATGGGGGCGGGGCCAGTCAGAGGTGGGATTTGCTGTTTCTCCGAACTACTCAAAATTTCCGCTATTGGTTCTCCAAAACTGTCAGAACCTGCTGAATATACCACCTCTGGCACAGAGCACTAAGTAGACCAGGAGAATCCCCTGGGAGTCGGGGGCTCTAGAAGATTGTGAGAAAGGCAGGAAAATAGGAAGTCAAGGGACAAGGGGGACTGGATTGTTGCAAAGTTGAATGCTAAAATAAGTGACCAGGATGAAAAAAAATTGCATTTAGGTGGTTTGCTGATCCGTAGAGAAGGAAGGAGGATAGAACCACAACATGAATGCATGAAGGAAGAGTGAAAGACAAAAAAGGAAGACCAGGAAAGTCACACTTGGACAAAGTTGATGAAATATCAGAATAGCATAGTTGGAAGGGACCTTGAAGATCTTTCAGACAAATGGATATCCAATCTAGAGAGGGAGGGAGGGAGGGAGGGAGGGAGGGAGGGAGAGGGAGAGAGAGAGTTGAGAAATTGAGAACAAAGGGTAGGATATGAATCAATGTATGGACATGACAGAAGCAAGGTAATTTGCAAGAAGAGGAAGATACGGATAAGTATACTAAATAATGTTGCTATTAAGATCACCTTTTTTTTCTCCTTTCCTCCTTTCTTTCCTTTCCCTACTGTGTCTTACTCTCCTTCTGAATTTGACATCATGTTGCTTACCCTGAAAGAGAGTAACCAATGGTGAAATAGGGGTGGCAACGTATGGATAGGTGTGTGTTGCTAGCTTTGGGGTCCCAGCTGATAATAGCACCGTCAATCATCTGTTCGGAAGCACCGGTGTATCGTCCTCGCTAACAAAAACTTTTCGTATTCACAGATTATTCCAAGGTTCACTTGACACAACTGTTGGAAAAGGCGGAAGTCATTGCAGGGCGGATGCTTAAATTTTCAGTCTTTTACCGGAATCAGCACAAAGAATACTTCGACTACATCAGGTAAGCGAAGGCAGAAAGAGCCAGCTTTCAGGGATGCCTGATTGCATGTGGGGGAGATAAGTGGATGGCTTTTCCCACTGATAAGTGACAAGGAAGCGCTCAATGCATCAGATCTAAGAGCAATCTGCTTCTTAATTAGCGACAGTTCCCTGCAAGTGTTATCATTTATAAGTGAGTAGCAGGTTGTATTCTTCGGTAGATTTAGTTCCAATATTCTTGGAATATATTCAGTTTTACCAGATACAGCTTTAAAAACAGAAAAACCAAGTATTTATAATATAGAAGTCCCTCACAACCTGGACATAAACTGTTTCAACTCCTACCCTCAAAACGACACTATAGAACACTGCACATCAGAACAACTAGACACAAGGACAGTTTTTTCCCGAAAGCCATCACTCTGCTAAACAAATAATTCCCTCAACACTGTCCAACAAAGTCTGCACTACTATTACTGTTAATCTTCTCATCGCTCCTTATCGCCCATCTCCTCCCACTTGTGACTGGATGACTGTAACTTTGTCGCTTGTATCCTTTCGATTTATATTGACTGTTTCCTAGTATGATTCGATTGCTTATTGTGCTCTATGACTATTATTAAGTGTTGTACCTGATGATTCTTGACTCTTGATGTATGTAACTTTTCTTTTATGCACACTGAGAGCATTTGCACCAAGACAAATTCCTTGTATGTCCAATCACACTTGGCCAATAAAGAATTCTATTCTATGGTGTCCAGGAAAGAATTAACAACGTATAGTTTTGGAGTAGCTTCATTGCTGACCTAAGATTAGCTCATCTGGCACTGGGGGGGCGGCGCTGTGCTGCCATCCAAAATGGGGTAGCTGTGTTGCCCCTCCTTGTGGCCTAAAATGGTCATCCCAACTTTTAATGATGTTCATCTTAGCCCTCTGAGATGTAAAATCCACAGTCTTGTTTCTGAGAAATTTAAAAAAAAAAACCCACAGAAGATGAACCCCATCTAAAGTTTTCTTCATCTCAATGCATGGAAAGCGTAGAAAAAGACAAAGTAGAACTGGAACTCATCCTAAGGCATCAGTTTTTCTCCTTTGCCCTAACGGCACGCTTAGCTTTGTGGACAGCAATCTTACCATTGATGTGTCACAATGTGTATTCCTCCATCCAAATCCAGTGACTCTTAGGACGGGGACAGAAGTAGACTGACTGTGATACAGATTGTTGTAACTTTTAAATTGTAGTTTCTATTCTAAAAATCTGAGGGGCCACCCTGGACCGCTTTTGGTGTCCCATTCCATATCACACACCACCTAAAATTGGAGGCCCTCTCTCCAATAAGAGACACAGCTCCTCGATAAAAGCAGATTTGATCTCTCCCAGTATTGTCCGGTTTCTCTGCATAAATGCAAACAGGACGGGGGTTGAGCCACGGGGATCTGCATGGCCCCCGTGCTCTCACGCCACCGTAGAACTAACGTGTTCCCCATCCTTTACTCCTAGAGAGCAGCATGGGAGCGTCCTGCAGCCTTCGGTTAAGGATAACAGCGGCAGCCACGGCTCTCCTATCAGCGGGAAGCTGGAGGGGATCTTCTTTAGCTGCCACACCGAATTCAACACCGGAAAGCCCCCCCAAGATTCACCTTACGGAAGATACAGGTTCGAGATTGCAGCTGAGAAACTTTTCAACCCAAACACAAATTTGTACTTCGGGGACTTCTACTGCATGTACACGGCCTACCACTACGTCATTCTCGTCCTTGCCCCCGTCGGCTCGCCGGGTGACGAATTCTGCAAGCAGCGCCTGCCTCAGCTGAACTTGCAGGATAACAAATTCCTGACCTGCACCGAAGAAGACGGGGTCATGGTTTACCACCATGCACAGGATGTCATCTTGGAAGTGGTTTACACTGACCCGGTCAACCTCTCCCTTGGCACAGTGGCAGAAATCACCGGCCACCAACTCATGAGTTTGTCCACTGCCAACGCCAAGAAAGATCCAAGCTGCAAGACATGTAACATCAGTGTGGGACGCTAATTTCCATCCCCCACCCTCCTTAGGACCCTCCTTCGTTGCCTACGCCCTCTCTCCACTCTCCACATCAGACGCATGACGAAATGCCCTCCCCAGTGACCCAACAGTTCCTCTCTGAGCAGAGCTCCATGTTCCAGCCAAGCTGGGCCAGCTCCCTAACCGGTATCCACTGAAGTATCTTTCTCCCCTTCTGCCCTACAGCATTGAAACCGAGCATGCTGGTCGTTGTACCCTCAGCTTATGTCCTTTCCCTGTTCCAGCCGGATGCTGCTGGTGGGGACACGGGATGGGGTGGCCTCACTGTGCCAGTCAGTGGGTCCCCATGTCATGGGGGAGAAAGGAAAGGAGCTCCACACGGAGACCGTATTATCTGCAGCCGCCCTGCGTAGCATGTAGTTCTGCCCTTGGCATTCCCCACGTTCCTTCCTCCTGATCCACCACTGCTTTCAACTGTTCAAAATCTTGAGGGTATTTTTAATTTTCTTTTCTTTCACCCCCCACCCAGCAACCATTTATACATCTAGGTGCTGCAATTGGTGTTAATTTGTCCCTCCTCTCCTCCATACTGCCAAATGTAACAAATCTATATAAACAAGCTTGAGTAAAATAAAATTTCCTGGCTTCTAAATGGTGTTTAAATATGCGTTCATTTTAACCTACTGAACAACTTAACTGGAATATTTCTAAACAGCATGAACAGGTGTAACGGCAGCATGATTAACTCTCACAAGCCTAGGGGAGAAAAATATGTCAGCACTTCCAATGTGTCGTTCGACAGTGTTATTTATGTTATTTATATGAGCTAACAAACAAACGGAAGGCCTGTGTTTCATCATAATAGAAAAATATTTTATTTGTACTGTTGTATAAAATATTATACAATCATATAGAATATATAGATGGCATTTTAATAGCAACTGTACACATGTCATGACAGCATTTTTCCCTTATCAAAGATGTAGTTTGTAAACTTCAAATAACTTGTGTATCTGTTCCTGTTGCTCTGACATGAGTTTTAATTAAAACAGATTTATGAAGGAGACCATTCTGGTTCAGTTATAAATGATGCAGCCAACGACACTGAAACATCAATTGCCATACAAACAAACAAACATACAAACAAACAAAAATCCACTTAGTTTAGTCATGGGACACGGACCTTTCCCAAATCATTAAAAGATTCCTCCCCTCCCCCCCCTTTTTTTTTAAAGAAATCATGCTTCAACTTTTACATATCGGGACCTACAGACAAGGTTGGTGGATAATGGAATTCATCCAATGCCTTTCTTTATGACACTATAGCAGAAGGAGTAGTAGACCACGGGGTCTTCAACCTTGGCAACTTTAAGCCTGGTGGACTTCAACTCCCAGAATCCAAAGTGGGCTGGGTGGGGAATTCTGGGAGTTGAAGTCCGCCAGGCTTAATGTCGCCAAGGTTGAAGACTCTTGCAGTAGACCCTGTCCACCTTTGGCACAAAGCTCTGGTTCTTGGAGAGGTGTCTCCCTGGGCTTTCTCGCCATTTCTGATGTTTGTGAAATCACCACCCTCCACACACGAACATCTCAGCTGGTCCTGTCCTCACCCACATCTCTCTTTGCCTGTGGGAATCTTCCTTCATCTGTGTGCCAGAGTGACAAGACCAAGGGCTCTGCCTCTCCTTTTTGTGCCATTGTTACAAAAAGACGAACCCCGAAGGCTAAAGACAGTCTTGCATCTCTTCCTGGAGTCTTCTTTGAATCTGGTTGCCATTAAACCTGTGTTTCTTATGAAGCCTCCTGATTGTCCACCTCAGACTCAACCATCCTCCATGTCGAAGTGATCTATTTTAAGCTGCGAGAATAACTACCTTATAAAGTCTATTCCTTTTCAACCTCTAGCCTATAGTAAACCAAATTAGAAAACAGTAACCCAACCATCCGCCATTCATAACCATGACACTTAGGTTAAATATCTGCATACATCATAATGCAATAAACTATTATCACTATAACAGAGTACCTTGGGCGATCATCACACGTGAAATATTAAGATCCTACAAAGTGCATGCTTTCAAACAAGCTTTGGTAATCATAAAAAGCAACATTTTATAGTATTGTGCTACAGAAAAGTGCTACACAAATAAAGACTAGAATGGACCACCAAGTAGTTTGTTTCATTTTGGTTACTATCAACCAAGTCCTGGAGGTTTTTTCTTGAAGAGGATGGGGTAGTTTACAACTCCTTACCCTGAAATGTATTGGCTACTCTTTCCTGTTTAAAGGTTTTTCCACACACACACACCTATAAGCGCCTAATCTTCCTTCTTTAAAAACTCTGCCTTCTCAAAATAAATGGATTTTCGCTACTTAATTTCTGCGCTAAACATATACTAAGCACACCTTTTTAGCCCACTACCTTTTCCTGCATAATTTGCACCTTTTTGAATTCAACCCCTTGTGTTTGGTGGTGCATAGAAAGGTCAAAACAGAAATGCTACAGGAATTAAAATGAGAGAAGTGTTTGGTCTGATCCCCGTTAATCTGATTAAAACGTCTTAGGCCGAGAGTGGCCTGAAAGGAACAAGTTGCTAGGGTCTTCATTTTTGTCACACAGAAGCTTCACAAAATCTTGCCATTCTTCACCAGAGTTTAAACTCCTTTTATGAAATCTTTCCTACTGTCTCAGTCTCTGTTGTATGTTCCTTACCAAAGCTGAAAAGTCATTTCCTTGGTAAATGAATATTCTTCCCGCACCCCACAGATATGAGATAGGAAAACTGCTGTGTGGTCTGCATTTATTTTTAGCTCCTTGCATAAATACATTATTCTCAAAAGGGATGGCACATAACTCTGACCTCTTAAGCACTTATCTTTTCTATTCCTCAAAATAAACTAATGCCAGATATTGGTGAATATCAAGCAGAGTTCCACCGAATCACCTCTCATTTTAACATTTACTTTCAGAAATAGTATAGAGAGGAACAATTATCTGTATTGTTTTGCTCTTGAGGAAGCTATTTTATCCAGTGACTCTGGATATGACCAGTCAGTCACTTTATCTGTTGGCTGTGACAATTCTTATGTTTCTGTTGAGCTCATGAGCAAAGCAAGCACCTCAACATTCATCAGAAAACACAAACAAATGGACACACCCAACCGGGCAAAACAAAAGCATGGAGAAATAAGGTCCAAAATCAGAACGAAGGATAATGAAAATGAGAACCACCGTGGTGAAGTATCTTACCACTGAGTGTGGAAAGCCAACAACATACATAAACACACCGCAGGATTTAGAACTCTGTAGCCACTCCAAAGATTTGACTGATTAGGAGCATATAGTTCATGAGGGTGGATTTCTCCTGCTGTTGCTTTCAGCCACATTACAATCGAAACACCGAGAAACTGACAATACCTGTGTCACAACCCATCCCAAGAAGGAGGAAGCTTCCACCATTAAGACAGTCAATGTTGTTGCATCTTAAAAGCTGTTTTGCTGCAAAGCAATCAAAGCATATTTACCCACTAAACTAATTCCAACCTTGGGTGAGAGATTTGTTCTGGAAGATGCATGGTAATATCTAATTTAAAAGAACATTAAAATAATTGGATTCGTGCACTTCTGTTCTGTTTTTACAGGCATTTTTGTCTACAGCACTTCTCCATATATGAGTTCCTCCTCAAAGAATTCTCACCCAAAGATGGGGGAGTTCTGGAAACTGAAGATACCTGGGGTAGGGAGGGGACTTGTTTAGTGAAGACTGTATATATGACTTTATCATGTGTGCCTTTAGTTCACATTGTTTTCTAGTTGATTATAATGAGTTACAGGTACCCAGACCAATTTTAAGGCACAGGTCTACATTTCCAAAGTAGCTCCTCAAGATCTTGGTCTACAGTTGTCATAGTCTTTAGGGATGATGAAGTTTAATGTGACCCATCATCAAGACACAAGGATGGGGAAGATTGTGATAGACAAGTATCACAAACAAACTTTGCTGGAAACTTTGAATTCATACCTAAAATAGCCCCACTGACATGCTTTATATAGAGGTTCACTCCCTCCCTCCCCGCTCTTTGCCCTTCCATATCAGAATGACCTTCTCCTAAAGAAATATCAAAGGGTAGCCCTGAGCCATTAAAAAGCAGCCAATAACTTAATTCCCAATTATAAAGGGAATGACATGCATGTCAACGTGCACAATGCCAAACCAAAACAGATTTCTACAGCTGGGGAGGGGATGAACCTTCCAAGCTTGCGGGAATAGTTTTAAAAGTCACTTGGAACAGGATGCGGTCACAGAGCTGACCTTGGAGAGACTAAACAGAAAGGATGGGTGGAAAAGCAATGTGTTAAGCGTGGGGAATGGACTGATTCTTCCCTATTTCACGAGAGTACAGGAAAGGGGATGGGAAAGGAAAAAGTCAAAATTCTCACTCTTTCACTCTCTCAACAAAGGATGGATGCAGTCAGACTTCACCTGTTCAGTCTCAAAAGACTGACACGTAGGCACATGGCTGGCAACTGGCAAGTATTATCACTCCCTTGCTTCTCTTCCATCTCTGACCTCTCAAGGAGGAGAAACTGAGCTCTCTATCTGCGGTTCCCTTCCTCACTGTGACATCTTGGGGCTTCTGGAATCACTTTTCAGTTGATCCTTTGCTGCGGCCAATTTTCAGGACCAGAAGGGGAGAACTTGCATGCAGGAGGACAAGGAAGGGATAATATGGGAGGGGAAGAGGGGAAGTCCATATTTCACATACCCCAAGCAGGATCTTCTAAACCACAGGTGAGACTATCCACAGTGTAGTCCTTCATATGGCATTAGATCCCCTCTGGACATTTATAGAGCAGATGGGGCTGGTGGAATTTGGTTCCCAGAAGCTTCCCACAGGCACCTTAAACCCAAAGGAGCATGGGTCCTTCTTGGTTTTATGGGACAGATGGGGAGGTATGGTTTTCCCAAATCCTGGCTCTGGGATGGAAGAGAATTAGTCAGCACACCTACATGCACACTTAAACTCGCACACAAATGCAAATGTATTTTTAGAATCCCAAGTGATTGTGGAGGCTGTATAAACTACACTTCTAGAAGTGGTGGGATTCAATTTTTTTTACTACCGGTTCTGTGGGCGTGGCTTGGTGGGAGTGGTGTGGCTTGGTGGGCGTGGCTTGGTGGACGTGGCAGGGGAAGGATATGCTGCAAAATCTGCATTCCCTCCCCACTCCTGGGGGAAGACTACCACCGATCCCCGAACTACTCAAATTTTTTCCAAAACCGGTCAGAACCTGCTGAATACCATCTCTGACTTCTAGTATTTTTGTTTCAGCAGAGTTCAGCTTCTATGATAAAGCTCAGACCAATTTTATAAAGCCAGAAAGCAGTATTGAAGTGTCCAAGAGAGAAATTAGTCCACTTTTCATGACGTTTTCCCTATAAGTCCATGTTTGTACCCTCTTAGTAGACAGCACAATGCAAATGGGAGAGAACTCCAGCACTCAGCCAAAAGTAGTTGTACACTTTGTGCAAAATCAAGAAACTAAACTAATCTAGTTAGCTGCCTGCAGAGTCAATAGTTCAGAAAATAACCTGTTCCGTCAGCCAGAAAGAGTACAATAACCCACTCAGCTATTTTCCAAAGGATGCCCTCCCTGTCTGAATCAAACATTCCTGTTCTCAGTGCTTCTCCACCACTTCCACAGCCTGGATGGAACATTCTACGTGTCTTTGTAGCATCCAGAACCTTCCCCAGAGTCCATGAGTGGCAGAGCAGAACAAGGCCACTTTGGGAAGGAGGCACCTCTAGAACATCAATTGACCCAAGACTTAACTAAAGTGTAAGCCTCTGCAAATGTGTAGAGATGACTCTCCACTTGCTGGGCTTCTCAATACTAACCCATCAAAAGGCATTAAGTCATAATCCACCCAATCCCTATTTAAGAAAAGTCAGAAGTGGTAAAAACAGAGAATGCAGATATGCTGATGTCCACAACAGAGAGGAAAACTGCAATATAAACACTTCAGCTGGATAAACACAAAACTGATCCAGCTTTGGCAGCAACCTTGCACACAAAATTCTCTCTACAACAAGCTGAAATGCAAGCTGAAATCAGCAAACAACTGCATTTTCTAAAAATTTCCTTCAATGTGCACAGAACAACAATTCACCCACCCTTTTAAAAATTATTGCATAATTTAGTCCTGGGGACTGAGAACTGATCTCATAGCCCAAATGCTCCCTACTGGCCCTTGAATATTTTTGTAAGAATTATTGTGAGAATTTCACTAAGCATTGCTCATGTCTTTGCATCAAAAGCACCAAATGCTGCCTTCTTATTTACCAAAAAGAGAAAGGAAGATGGAGAAAGATGAAGATTCTCAACAGCCGAACACTGTACTTTAGCACCATGTATTCTGATTTGCAATTGCAATTTGGGTGACTAAACCCATGTTACATAATTCATGACATCCTGACGAGTAGGACATCATGACAGCTTCCATCAGATGTCAATGCTTGGTGTTGTACCTTGTGTAGAATTATGGCATTCTTGCCCAAAAGTGGTGAGAGGCAGGCAATGGGTGATACCAAGATTCCTGAATTGGCCCTTTCACAAGATTACTGAATCTTGGAAAAATCTCCCTGATCCCATACAAATCTCATGAGATTTCAATGCCAGAAGGCCAAAAATCTCACAAGAGACTTGTCATTTTGTGGTTCTTGGTAAGATTGCTGGAATATCTCAGGCTTGTATCTCAGGAGGTTGTGCAATTAATTTTGAAGGGCTAACTGAACTGGGATTTCATAATTGTGAGATTTTGCCCTTCAAGAATTCGTAATTTTGGACGTACCAACAAAGCTCAGCTGCATATACACACACATAGGCTTCCCTCTGGGAAGCGCAGATCAAATCCTGCTGACTTCTTTGCCCTTCCAATGTTTTGAGCACCGTTGTTCAAATGATGGTGGGCAGATCGTTTGGATAGCAGGTATGTTTCAGCAGAGCTTTGAGATTCCCAAGCCATCTTCTTGAAATTGCATAGGGCTGCTGCTTGCCTTTAACTCAGCAGCAGGCAAATGTCCAGGTGAAAACAGATTCTGGAAATAGGAGAGAATTCACAGGGAAGAGCCTGTCCTCCATCCAGTTACTCCTTCCTTGTGCAGTCTCATGCCTGCTCCACGACCTTTCTGCTATGCTCACCTGAGCATTATCACCTTAAGGAAGCGCAAGAGCAAATCACTGGGCAGAAAGAGCCAGGCGTTCTCTTTCCTGACATCAGGAAGTTTTACTGGCTTCAGATGGTTTTGGAGACGTCGTGTTTGCTGATGAGAACCTCCAGGAGGCGGAGTTTAGCCTTGATATGCTTGTACTCCAAATATTCCTCTGACATGGAGATCCGATCTTCCTTCTGGGGACTCCTGCAAAACAACAAGAGGGGCATTCAAACCTCAGCAAGAAAGCATCAAGGTGTCAGATCCATGTATCTGCCATTCTTCAATGGAAGAAGAGGGGGGGAAGTTGGTACAAGTAATCCTTTTTGATGTGACCCAAATATATTAAATCTTATATTGATTCTGCATAACTTGCACATGATATACAACTGGAGGGCTGGAGCCAGAAGTCTAGAAACTTGTCACCTCTTGAAGAGATAACAATATGAGAAGGGACCATAAACATTCCAGCTCTGGAAGACACTCTTGGGAACTCTCCTAAGATACGTTCCCAGAGAAGGGGAGGAGGGAATTAACATGTTGGTTCTTTGTTTGACTAAATCCACATCTAAATAAGGGGAGGGATTCTAACTCCCTTTATCTATTACTGTATGCCTGCAAACATCTTAGACTCTGCCTTGACTAGTGCTGGGATTCACTCCCTTTTCAATAAAGGATTCCTTTTGAAATATCTAGTTTTAAGAAGTTCATTCTTTTCGGTTGAAGGGGAAAAGTCCTTTGCTTACGCAAGGATTCACAATGTCCTTCTGGTCAGAAAACTGAGTTTTCTGTCAGTTCTGTGTATCTGCCATTCTTCGGTGGAAGAAAGGACGGGGGGGTTGGATGTGATACATTAAATTCTTTGCCTCTCTATGTATTCTAAATATCCTATTTCTTACATTGACTTTTGTATAAATTTTTACATGATTTACAGTTGTTGCCTGGTGGCTCAGATGCCTGGAAAATTCTCACCTCTTGGGGAGATGCAAGGGGAGAAGGGGCCATGTGGATTGAAGCACCCGGAAGATAGCTCTGGGAAACTTTCCTTATCTGCTTTCTCAGAGATGCTGGTATAATAACATCTTCACACCTGTGGATTGATGGAATCCACATTGGACTGTTGGGAGGGGTTCCTAATTCCCTTTATCCTAGTTGCATGCCCTGAAGGACCTCAGATCCTGCTTTGAATTTTGACCTGGTTGTATCTCCCTTCAATAAAGATTCCTTTTGAAATTCAAAGTTTTCAAGAGTCTATATTTATTTTTTGAAGAGCGGAGAGGCTGGTCCTTACATTTTCATTACTTCATTCCTTTAGCCAGAGGAGCCACTCCTCCAGGCCCAGGAGATTTAGATGTTTATTTGCAAAAGTTAGTCCCAAGAGATTGAAAGGCTAAAGATATCCTGATGGCAGAGAGACCCAGTGGGTTCTTTCTCTTTTATTATGCTAGGGCTTTCTGGGATCTTCTTTCCTTTCTCTTGATTGGCAGCAAGTATTCATTGCTAATAAAGGCTGCAAATCCTCCTGAGGGCTCGGTTGAATGTCAGCTGGACTCACAAGGGGGACAATTCCTGGCCACGTCTCTATTTCCTGCTGTGTTCAGGGTGGTGGGGGGAGGTATCATCTTCAGAACAGGGAAGGGGGAAAACAAGTAATGGGAGCCGTTGTTCCACTAATAATATCCCCAAAGCTGACAATTCTTGTGAATTTCTCCCCCATCAGAGATGATGGTGGGAAAATAAGTTATGCCTCTGAGAACTGATGCCCCATGTGGTGCACCAAATGAAAATGATTGCTTTGGGGGTAAGAAAACAGGGTTGCCCATGCTTTGCAAAAGAGCTAGCTCTTCTGGCCATAAACATGATGCACCTACTTGATATGGTCCTTTCTAGACAATATATTTGGCAAGAGGGTCCTTTCTTACTGTTCAGGAATCAAAATGCTTGGAATCGAAAGGTGCAGCCTACCTCAGTTTCAACAGATAAAAACATGAATACTTTTCTTTGGTTATCATAAGGCTGTAAACTACCACCAAGTCAATGCAATGATGCCTCCAACCAACCCATTAAAAACTTTCTGTGGTGAACCATTATTCTGGGGAGGTTTACAATAGCTTAAATCAGGATCTGACCATTCATGGTGTTGAGATTCAACATGCACACGACTGTCTCACCTTCCTGTTTGTCTAAAGAACTCTTCCTCAAATTCCCGTAATACTTTCCTTATCCTTTTCTTGTCAGCTCTAGTTTCTCGGAGATGTTCCAGTAGCACAGGCCTACAAAAGAAGAACGGGACTTTTAAGATCTGAAGGACTGAAAAACTCCTTAAGAGCTGATAGATGGCCAAGCAAATTGGGCTCCCAAATAAGCAGGCAGCATGCAGGCTGTCGCCTGGAGGCTCTCCTTGAGATGGAGGCGCCCAACTGCTTATCAGAAAATTTTGCCTATTTAGTTCCTAGTGAGTTCAAAACCATGTAATACAATGAGTAGTGTATTTATGATTTCTTGGTAATAATAGATTATAGCACTTAGCAGTAGCACTTAGACTTATATACCACTGTACAGCCTCCAAGTGATTTATAGAGCCAGACTATTGTCCCCCAATAACCTAGGTCCTCATTTTACCAACCTCAGAAGGATGGAAGGCTGAGTCAACCTTGAGCCTGGTGAGATTCGAACTGCCAAATTTTAGGCAAACAGCAGTCAGCAGAAGTATCCTGCAGTACTGCACTTTAACTGGAAGGAAGGAAGGAAGGAAGGAAGGAAGGAAGGGAGGGAGGGAGGGAGGGAGGGAGGGAGGGAGGAAGGAAGGAAGGAAGGAAGGAAGGAAGGAAGGAAGGAAGGAAGGAAGGAAGGAAGGAAGGAAGGAAGGAAAAAAAACAGCAATAGCACTTAGACTTATTTTCCGCTTTATAGTGCTTTACAGCCCTCTCTAAGTGGTTTACAGTGTCAGCATATTGCCCCAACAATCTGGGTCCTCATTTTACCCACCTCAGAAAGATGGTCAACCTTGAGTCAACCTTGAGTCAACCTTGAGCCTGGTGAGATTCGATTCGCCAAATTGCAGGCAGATGGCAGTCAGCAGAAGTAGCCTGCAGTACTGCCAGTGCACCACTGTGGCTAACCAGTGCATCACCGTGGCTCAAGATGGATTTACACCAATTGGGCAGATCTGCATTGTGCCCTAATGCTCACTTTGAACACAATCGCCAAAGCGAATGATGGCACTTCTTTTCAGTACTCTTTCCAATACTTAATAAGCTTAATAAATGAATGAATGTATAAATACATGAATGAATCAATGGATGAATCCATGAATGAATCCATGAATGATCCCTGATCCCAAGAGGTGCATCATCATTTAAACAAGGAGGAGAGTTGGCACTCACATGGTGGCCTCATGTAAATTGGACATCGAGAGCGTTGGCTGTTTCATCACTTTCTTTTCATCCAGAGGTGAAACAAAGGCGGGTTCATTCTCCTCATCTGAGTGACCCATCTGTGCCTCGGGGGGCCAATGGAGAGACCCAGTGGAGCTACTCTGAGGAGGTTCTTCATCAGAATCTTCCTCCTCCTGCTTGGAACAGGGAACAAGAGTTATCAGGGCCCCTCTCTCCTTACCCACCCATCCTTCAAATGAAGAAGGCTAGAACATTCATTCCAGAGGACAAAAATTATACGAATGAACAGACTGCCTTGGTTTGTATTTAAGCATTAGAAATGTTGGTTGGCCAAGGCTTTTATCATGTGAGAAGCTGCAGCAGATGCATATTCAAGGTCTTAGTGCTCATTTTTGGAAGAGAAGTGTAAATAAATCACACTTTAGCACAGTGTCTAACACTTTCTGAGATGTTTGTTGTTCTCTGAGACTCTGAGACTAATTATCCTTAATGGAAATCCCAAAGATGCTTTTCCAAAGGGAATTGCACTTTGTTGGGTTTTTTTTCCTTGAAAATATTTTGCTTCTCACCTAAGAAACTTCTTCAGTTCTGTCTTTAATGGAATTCTTTCAGAAGAAAGAATAACTGAATGATGGTCCTTCTCCCTGCAAGTAACCACAATTATTTCTAAACCCCAACGGTTGCCCACAACATGTACTTTCCATAACTGTAACAATTTGACAGAGATTACTTTGATACTACAAACCAGTAATCCCAATCCAGCCCTATTTGAAAGTATGTCCAAGTAAGCCCCCCGGATTTTATTTCCTGAAGAATAAAGGTACTGGCAAGACCTTTATGCATAAAACAAAAAGCGAATGCACAACTTCAAGAAAGCCTACAAGAAACATCCCTGGTTGTGGTGCATTTCTTCACACAATCCTCATGAGACTTACAATAGTTGTAATCAAAGAGGGCGTTGATAGAAGCTGCTTTATAATTCTGTATCTTTCATAAAGAGGCTTCATCAAACTCCTGTCTTGCTGGTTAGCCTAGGAAGAAAAAGTAAGGAGCACCAGGTTGGTTCTGAAGAGACATCTGACATTTCTTCTTAAAAGTCACAAAATCCATCAACAGACGTGAATTTTTAAATTCCAACATGAGGAATGTGAGGCACAAAACCCGGTGATACTTCTGTGCTGATGGGATATCATTTGTTCTATTATTTTTTTTTGTTTTTCTTCTAATTTTAATTATGTGAATGCAACACTTCTGTAAAAGAAACAGTTTATCAGAACTGACTCTGTATATCCCTTGCACACTGTGGGTTTTTTTTTTCTCTCCAAGAATTTAAAAAGATAAGACATATGTCTGTGATTCGTAAATACCTTGTGTTAGAGAAGCACCACTTCCAATCAGAAGTTGGACTGGTGCCCGCCATTCCTTAGCAGCAAACTGACACACTGTAATTCCCATTCCCTGCCTAGTCTTTGCCTCTGGCAACTGCAAAACATCTTATAACCAAATGTCAGTCATGCAACATTAAGACTGGCAGATCTTGGTCATTCCAGGCAAATCCCTTGCTGTCCATCCATCTTAGGACATGATTCAGCACCACCTCAACATTTCAGGGGAGAATCAAGGAAGTGCTACAGGGATAGAACCTCCAGTAGGATGAATGATAGATGGATGCCAGCTTGATTTAGTTCATGGCATCTCCTAAAAACTGTTGGAAAAGATTTCGAAAAGAAAAATTTTCCTCTCTCATAGAAATTTTATATTCAGTGCGCCAGCTGGGCTGTTCTGGGCAGGAAAAAAAAATGCCAATCTTAAGTTAGTTGTGCACAAAATCTTGCACATTTCTGAATGTTCAGCTCAATCCTTAACTCAAAGATGCAGCACAGATTTTAGAACGTATTTTGCCAGGAAATATACAAATATTGAGAGAAAATTCAGTAAGGGTATATTCAAATATTCAGATGAGTTTGTATTTGAAAACATCTGTATATTAATGTAGAAATGAAGTTATCATACACCAAAGGGACACAGACCCAAACCTGACTGGCATGTCCTTCTTGGCCAGGAGTCTCCAACCTTAACAACTTTAAGACTTGTGAACTTCAACTCCCAGAATTCCTCCTCCAGTCATGTTGGCTCAGGAATTCTGGGAGTTGACATCCACAAGTCTTAAACTTGCCAAGTTTGAAGACCCTTGTTCTTGGCTATCAACCCTCAACTATAATCCATCTTCCGTGGAGAACATATAAAATACACACTGAGGGTTGTCGCACTAAGACACACAAGCCCAAGTATTGATAAAGGAACAAGCTGTCCTAGAGAACCCATAAAAGGTCAAAATGGTACTGCAGAAGAACACAGTCAATAATAAGCTAAGATTCCAGTAGACCAGAAATAGATAAGAGGAAGAGGTAAGCTGGTTTAATAAAGGAGGGGAAAAAACATGTAAGCCTTTGGCCTGTAGGTGAGACACAATTCAGAGAAGCCTTTTGTGTGGTCTGCAACAGGTGAAAAACTATGTCAAATTGACCTTCCCTCCTCTCTCCAACTGCTTTTTTGTTTCTGCTAATTGCACAACACTTTGAATGTCCACTCCAAAAGCCGCTCCAAGGCATAGGGGACCATGAAGCAGCACCTGCCTGCAACATCTCAAAGCCCTTCTTGTTTGCATAGTGGAAAGAGAAGCATCTTTCTAGACCAGCAACAATACTGAGGACTTAGGTATGAATGGAAGGATGTGGATGGAAGAAAAGGATGGGAATTGTGGTCTTGGATGAACGGTTGTGAATGCATATCTCTATGGTGAAAAAGAGACAACAATCAAGGCAAGGCAAGCCAACGCAGTGTCTCAGACTGGCTTGTGTTCCTTCTCTTCACATCAAGTGGCAGTTTCTATTTGATCTTTGCTGACCTTGAAAGATAAGGTAAAACCTGGTTAGAACTTGGATGGAGACCACCAGAATTAATGATTAAAGCAGGAAAAATCCCAGAAGGTGACAACGGCCAAGCACTTAGATATTACGTTCAACTAAAGCTCAGGCTCGCTTTAATTTGTAGAATTAATTAATTAATTTAAATGTTTTCTAACCCTTTCATCTAACCTATCGGTGGATATGTTGGTACTCCTGATTAGTGTGATGGGATATAACAACTGCACATTTTTTTTCAAACTAGCTGAAAAATAACGTACCGATATCCAGTGGTCCTGTACTTGTGAAACGCAATGTGCGTCTTCAAGAATGTGATGAGGTTGAGCAGAATGGACCACTCAATAAAACACACTTATGTTTTGGGACCAAGGAAGGGTACCTTCTCTGTTGCTGTTCTCCCCCCCCCTTGGAGTAGCACCCCCCTCAAAATCCTTATGGCTCTCATGAATTTCAGAAAGTGCCCCACAGTCATTTGGAGCTGGGTAGCTTCTAAATTGTGAGAGATAGATATAAGAACTAGGTAAATAAGAAAGGTGGGATAGATAGATGATCGACAGTTGATAGAGATGATAGAGAGGTGATAGAGAGAAGAATAGATGAAAGATAGAAGATAGAGTTAGAGAGAGAGATGATAGAACTAGACATAGTTCAGGAATCTATGGAACATGACATGGTGGAAGGCTGCTTGAAGTACTGGACCTAATTCAAACTGATCTTGGTGTGTGGGCTGGGGAAGTTCAGAAGCAATCTCCTTCTGAAAATTCTTTGTAATGGCTAACCTGAGGTTGACCTCTCTTTCTAAGAAATACTTACAGGCCGTCCATGAATACTTTCAAAATAGAGTAGGCTTTTCTGGAGACTGAGTTTTTCCAAAGCCATTTGCTTTTTTGTCATAGCCTAATTAAAAAAGAATGATTTATAGAAAAATTAACCATCAAGTGTTATCTGCTGGAAGGAAACGGCTGCACAAAATAATGTGAATGAACCCACGTGGTTTTTAAAAGTCACAGGTGGCATTTTTTTTACCGCAGAATTTGGATGATGCTTTAAAGCTGGCTGACTCAAGGTAACTAGGATCAACCACTAGGTGCCAACTGTGAAATGCATCTCACTGATCTTTTTGCACAGATGCCAGTGAGCTCTGAATTTTGGTTCTACAAGCTTTCTTTTCTCCTTCAACCAAACTAGATATTTTTTGCAAGATTCCTTTAGGTTCACAGAACTAGGCAGTCTTAGAACTGCACAGGGGCCAATTACCTTTGTCTTTTGGGTTTATTATCACAGACCTCTCCAAAAACGATCTAAACTGAAAGTAATTGTAATTGCCTACAAGATTAAATTTGAAGATGCACGTTTATGCTTCAAATGTGGGTGTTTTTTTATTGACTATACCAAGCAGCCCTTAACATTTGGGTACCAGGGACTGGTTCTGTGGAAAAAGGTTTTTCCACGGACCAGAGGGGGCATGGTTTAGTGTGCTGCCTGTATCCTGTGGATAGGGCTTTGCTTGTTTGCGCAACCCAGGTTCTGACATGCTGCAGACCAGTGTCTCTCCACAGACTGAAGATTGGGGATCCCTGAACTACCTAAAGGAGTAAAGGGAGGTTGGGGGTGACTTAAACCAAAGTTCCCCAACCTTTCCGGCTTCATGGACTGGCAGGGTGCATAGGGGATGGTTCCTTGTGAGTGGCTGGCATTGCTTGTGCAATGTGTGTGCGCACATGCTTGCCTGCTGCTCGCACAAGTAGGGATGTGAGCACATGTTTGCCTGCCACTTTGGCAGCTCAGTTCCAAACTGCTCACAACCCAGCAGTGGGCCATAGCCCAGAGGTTGGGGACCCCTAACCTAGACAACTAACTCAGTTAATGGCTTGAGGATGAAGACTTTGGCTCACTCTTTGAGCTGTCCTTTCCCGTTCCACATCACAGGCATGACTCTGATTTGAAAAGCACTGATTTGAATGCCAGTGCTGTCACAAGTCACGTAGCACCATGCCACAAATGACATATTCATCTCTTTACGCAGAGCACGCCACATCGTTTTGACCCCTTCATGGCTTCTACCAGAAAGACTTTCTACCTAAACCTCAGAATCTCCAGATACAGCTTTGGACACCAAACAGGCTACAAGATGATAATTTAAAACCCGTTGTGTTGCTGTAGTGAAATATCACAATTGCCACATTTGTACCAGGTGGCAATAATACACATTTGTACCCTAGTGCCCACTAACATACAGCTTTCTGCACAGATGTTTGTAGCAAGTAATTTGTGCCTCTTTGATGTTTCACTCATGTGAAGCTCATGCCCGTGCACACACCCACACACACACACACAGAGTCTTCAAGTCAGTGTGGAAGGAAGCTCATGGAGGTGATAGGACATGACAGAAGCCATCAGGCACATCAGGCACAAGTCAGCAAGTAAACCAGCAAACCTAGATGTTGTGCAAGAACTGGGTACCTTGATGTTCTCAGGGAGACCGAGCTGCTGTCGCTGCTCTTTCAGTTGCTTCTTCACCACTTCCATGGTTTCCTCCACCAAAGGACTGGTGGGGGAATCTGCTGGATCCAGCCTCACTGCCTCTTTGGGGCTCTCCTGATGAGAGTTCCTTTGGCTTCTTTTGATGGGGAAATTCTGTTCTTCCGACATTTTGAGTTTCAGCTCTGTGAGAAAAGTCCACACAATACCTCTGGTGAGCGAACACCTGCAGCCTACAGCTTCTCATGGCACCCTTTCATTGACATAGAGATCTGAGACACTTCGTGACCCACAGAATCACAAGTGCTTCAGATGTGGTGCCAAGTTTTTTTTAAAAAAACTGCTTGTTTGGGTTGCTCTCAAGAACAGAGTTACAAAACAAAGAACAAAGACAAGTTATGGTCTTTTGTGAACTCTCGTCTCTTGTTCATGTCAACTTGTTCCTACGTAACACAACTTCGGGAAAATAAGGCAAGAAGATTAGGAATGCTTGGAAAATTTGTTGATGGCATTTATACCTATAAAATTACAAAGCACATGATCCTCATCTATTGGTATCTATCTAAGCCAATTTTTGCATGGCTGCCAGTCACTCAATTCCATTTTCTCTGTAATCCTGCTGGAGTTGGAGGCCACCTCATATAGGGTTGGAAAAGTCTAATCTTTAGACTTTAGAGCACTGCACACCAGAACAACTAGACACAGGGACAGTTTTTTCCCAAACAACATCACTCTGCTAAACAAAAAATTTCCTCAACACTGTCCAACTATTTACTAAGTCTGCACTACTATTGCTATTAATCTTCTCATCACTCCTTATCACCCATCCCCTCCCACTTGTGACTGTATGATGGTAATTTTGTCACTTGTATCCTTATGATTTATATTGACTGTTTCCTAGTATGATTTGATTGCTTATTGTACCCTAGGACTATCATTAAATGTTGCACCTGATGACTCTTGACTCTTGACGAATGTATCTTTTCTTTTATGTACACTGAGAGCATTTGCACCAAAGACAAATTCCTGTGTGTCCAACCACACTTGACCAATAAAAAGTTCTATTCAATTCTATTTCCCGTTGTCCCTTTCTTTCTCCACACAATATGGGGGACCAGGGGAAGATGGGCTTGGTTAACCCTTATTCAGTTTCAGACAACGTCAGATGTCAAGGTTCAAGTCCATTAACCTAACGGAATGCATCATTTCATAGAGGGCAGTGAAGGTTTTCCACCTCAACCATGGTCCATATTTGGGTCACATGATCATGCTGTCTACCTAATGGTTTACAATATACGTGAACAGGTCCAATACCTTGGATCTTGTCTTTCTGTATTTAAACAATGCTGATAAAGGTACAGAGAAGGCAGAAGAAAACTGTCCCAAACCAGACGGACACCAGTATTAGCGCCTCTTCTGTCTCTTTATATTTTGATTTCATGATCGTCAATGAAGATTATAAGCCTTGGTGGTGCAGTGGTTAGAATGCAGTACTGCAGGCCAGTTCTGCTGACTGCCAGTTTCCTGTGATTTGGCAGTTCAAATCTCACGAGGCTCAAGGTTGACTCAGCCTTCCATCCTTCCGAGGTGGGTAAAATAAGGATCAAGATTGTTGGGGACAAGAGGCTGACTCTGTAAAGTGCTTACAGGGGGCTGTCAAGCACTGTGAAGCGGTATATAAGTCTAAGTGCTATTCCTATTCAAGGTCCCTTTTAACTCTACGATCAGATAAGCCCAACTCAATATGGACCATTACAAGTCAGGCAAGGCAACCATAAAGAGAACATACAGAAGTCCCCTTACACCAGAGGTCTCCAAACTTGGCACCTTTAAGCAGTGGTGGGATTCAAAAAATTTTACTATCAGTTCTGTGGGCATGGCTTGGTGGGCATGGCAGGGGATGGATACTGCACAATCCCCATTCCCTCCACACCCCACTAACCTGCTTTCCAGTTCCGTTCTCCTATGTAGGGCAACCAAAGAAGCCCCAGCCGATCAGCTGGGACTCAGAAGGCGGAGAATAAATGGGGGAGGGGCCAGTCAGAGCTGGTATTTGCCGGTTCTCCAAACTAGTCAAAATTTCCGCTAATCGGTTCTCCAGAACTGGTCAGAACCTGCTGAATAGCATCTCTGGCACAGAGTACTGAATAAGCTAGGTGAATCCCCTGGGAGTCGGGTGCTTCAGAAGATTGTGAGAAAGACGGGAAAATAGGAAGTCAAGGAACAAGGGGCACTGGGTTGTTGCAAAGGTGAACAGAAATACCACCTCTGCCTTTAAGACTTGTGAACCTCAACTCCCAGAATTTTCCAGCCAGCATAGCATTTATGGTGGAGTTTGGAGGAGAGAAAGAAAGACTTCCACTGCTTCTGCTGCTTTCCTTTCATGAAGCCAAAAGTCTCTCTCTCTCCCTCTCTCCCCCTCTCCCCCCCACTCTCCCCAAGAACAGAGCTGGAGACAGTATTCTGCAATCCCAAATAAAGAATGATCGATCGATAGGAAAACCGGGTGGGGAATTTTCCTGCAGACTTTTGGGGGGATTTTCCCAGGCTCTCTGGTCCGCAGGATTTAAAATTATGAGTTTGGTGGTCCCTGAGGTCCAAAAGGTTGGAGACCCCTGATCTAGTCCAACCCCCCCACCACCTAAGCAGGAGACCCTACACCATTTCTGACAAATGGCCGTCCAATCTCTCCTTGAAAGTCTCAAGTGATGGCGCTCCCACAACCTCCAAGGGTTTTGTTTTGTTTTATAAAACGTTGGTGAGGAGCAAACAGAAGGGAAGCAGAGATCAAGACTACAGAAGGCAAGGAAGTAATTATTCCTGCCTAAAGGCTATTTCGGTGCCCTTCCCCCACCCATTCCTCCTTCTCTCAGTCGCCTCGGCAGGGTAGAGCCAATTTAGCAACTCAGCTTCCAGCTTTGCTCATTAATTCTCTCCCTCGCACTTATCTGTTTTGCACAGGCCTTTGTAATCAAATGGAAGCGGTAATCGTATGGATCAGATTACTCGGCTTTTTAAGACTTAAAAAGATGTCATTAAAAAGTCACACTCGTGGTGCACGGTTTCTTGAGGAACATGTTTGATCTCTGAGGGCCTCCAGCGCATGCTATCACGAAAATGTCTGACACTTGGGACATATGGAATAGGGAAATAATAGTTTCTAAAGATAGCTTGATATCCTAAGATCAAGCTTAGCATTTTAGGATGCATGAGAGCTATCCACATCAGGAATCTGTTAGCTCTGCAGCAGCTCAGTCAGTGGAGAGCTGGACTGATCTAGGAAAGGGCTGAGATTTAAGGTTACCAGAAAAGCAACAGAATCCAACATTGCTGGGTTTGCACCAAACCAGATCTTGTTGGTTACATCTCCAAGAAAGTGTGAGCGTAAGGGGGGATTCATTCTCCTCTCTCTATAGGGAACCTGTACATCAGGGAGAAAACATAGTATTTCCCAGGAATCCTTTAGAGTGAATTAACTTTTGTGTCAGAGGTTGTCATGCCCCTGGTGGAGACTGACTCCGAGGGAGAGGAGAAGCAGCCGACAGGGAGTGGAAGTGTGGCTATGGAGGTTGTGGAGGAGGCTGGGGAAGGGCAGAGGGTGGCTGGGCAGTCAGAGGAGGACCTAGGCCCATCCCAGATCCATCCTAGGGCACACAGGGAGAAGAGGATAAGGGAGAGACGTGGTCTACTTGAGAGGAGAGGGCTTTGATCTTCTTCATGGGCTGCAGCTGTGACAACTGGATAAGAGAGTGGACATGCATACGGGCGAGTGCTGGAAACAAAGCATGGAAATATCTCTAATTTATAGTTCCTCTCTGAGTTTGGTGTCCTTCCCAGTGTGTGTTCTGTTATCTGTGGACATCCTCCAGCTCTTATCTTGCCTGGTTTGTGTTGCTTTTTTCCTTCTTCATGTAACTGTTTGTGTGGGAGTTTTTTGTCTTCCGCCAAAAGATATTCAGAGCTTGGAAGCAAAGTAAAGGAATAAAAGGGGCTTCACCTGTTTTCTGTGACTGTGTTTGTTTTGTATTCCACCCTGGGTCATCACCGAGGTGGTATTCAGCAGGTTCTGACCGGTTCTGGAGAACCGGTAGTGGAAAGTTTTGAGTAGTTCAGAGAACTGGCAAATACCGCCTCTGACTGGCCCTGCCCCCATTTATACTCTGCCTCCCAAGTCCCAGCTGATTGGCTGGGTCTCCTTTGGTTGCCCTGCACAGGAGAACGGAGCTGGTTAGTGGGGTGGGGAGGGAATGGGATTTTGCAGTAATCTTCCCCCAGGAGTGGGGTGGGAATGGAGATTTTGCAATATCCTTCCCCTGCCATGCCCACCAAGCCACACCAGGCCCACCAAGCCACGACCACATAATCAGTAGTAAAAAATGTTGAATCCTACCACTGATTTGTGTGCACAGAGGTTCGGTGAGAAACCCTTCATATAGGATTTCAGGATTTCTGCCCTGATAAGAGTTGAACTGGCTTTTCTTCCAATATGGGGGATGGGGTAGAGAACGCAAGTGCCCCAGGATATGAGTCTGTCCCTTTTCTCCCCATCCATTAGGCTGAATAGCAAACACTGTAGCTCTGAGAAACAGGCTAGACATAGTGACAGTGTGTACCTTTTAGCTGTTTACGACTTTTGGCTAAGTCATTCATCCATTTCATTACTTCGGGATTTGATATCTTGTCCGCATGGGAAGGCTGCACACACAAGGGAAGAAAAAGGCAACTATTCAGAAAGTGGATTGTGAAGCCTAGAGGATGAGATAGAACAGACGATACCACAAATAGAAGGAGGAAAAAAGAAGGAGATTATAGCGTTGGGTGAAATGAAGTTGGGAGAATATATATTAGGAGGTAGAAAAATGGAATTGAATTATCTAAAGATATTTCTGGAAAAAAAAATACAGAGGATTTGGCAGATGTATGGGTGGAGTGGCAGCAAAAAATAGTGGGGATGGAATGATGGTTGGGTTGAATATAAAAGATGTAAATAAGGACCCAAGTGAGGAGTATGGGAGGCGAGTCAAAGAGAGAAGAAGTGAAATTTCCAAGAGGATGAGAGCTGATGGATAGGAAGAGTTTTTCTTAAAAAAAACAAACCCAAGATTGGCTGTACTAAAAATTAGAATAGATTAAAAAGGTAGAAATGGGGGAATATTGTTATACATATTTTTATATAACACTTTTAAAGTGAATGTTAGAGGTTAAGATCAGATTTTGAAAAAAAAAGATGTGATCAGGTACGCTCAAAAATAATGCTATTACTATTAGAAGGATGTGGCAAATATTGAATAATTAAAAAATGAAGGATTATGTGCTGATACAGATACGTATAATAACATTAGATCACATAAGCCTGATTAATGTAGTAATTTTCATTTGTATCAATATTACTTTTGTATCAAAATGAATGACATTCAGATGCCACACTGTCCCTGAAATATTGATATATGTTTAAAAATTAAAAAAACTTTACCAAAAAAAAGAAAGTGGATTGTAATGTTACTCTTATCTACACCAATATTGAAATCACACGTATCCCTGCCAAGATACAGTTTGTTATTATTAGCCTAGAGCAGGGGTCCCCAACCTTGGCAACTTTAAGACTTGTGGACTTCAACTCCCAGAATTTGCTGGCTGAGGAATTCTGGGAGTTAAAGTCCACAAATCTTCAAGTGACCAAGGTTGGAGACCCCTGATCTAGGTCAGTAGTTGCCAACCAATAAGCTGGGGACCACTGGTGGTCCGCAAGAAAATTTTGGTGGTCCGCAGAGAAATGTCACCCCCAAAGCAATTAATCCAGGCTGCGTGGGAACACAAGGCTGTGTTGCCCACATGGCCCGTGGGAACACAAGGCTTGTGTCACTTGCATTGCAAACAACACAAGGTGGTAAGGGGAGGGGGGAAAGGGTGGAGGAGGGGGACTTACCTCACTCACCCCACTTGCCTCGCCTGGCCACTGGGCTGCTTCTTTCTTCTTCTGCTTTTGGCTACACATAAGGAAAGCAGCAAAAGTCTTTCTTTCTCTCCCCCAAACTCCACCAGAAATGAGTCTTTGGGACCCTGCAAGGCCTCCTGCTCCAAGAGGCTGCACCGGTGCAACGAGCCTCACAAAGACTCATTTCTGGCAGAGTTTGGGGGAGAGAAAGAAAGACTTCTGCTGCTTCTGCTGCTTTCCTTGCATGAAGCCAGAAGTCTCTCTCTCCCTCTCTCTCTCTCTCTCTCTCTCCCCTCCCCCTCAAGAATGGAGCTGGAGATGGTATCCTGTGATCCCAAATAAAAAACGATCAATTGGTAGGAAAATGAGGTGAGGAATTTTCCTGCAGACTTTTCTGGGGATTTTCCCAGGGCCTCTGGTCTGCGGGATTTAAAAATATGGGTTTGGTGGTCCCTGAGGTTCAAAAGGTTGGCAACCCCTGATCTAGATCACCTCACCACTTCTGAACCTGAGGTCCATCTATTTATTCTAAGGGTTGAAAAAAGGCTGGGTGAAAACCCATTTCTTTGCCAAGAGCTATAATCCTCTGTAAGGCCTATCAAGGAGGCCTGGCTTGCTGCTGATAGGATCAAAGAGAAACATGTTTTCATCTCTATTATACCTCTTTCTTTCTTTCTTTCTTTCTTTCTTTCTTTCTTTCTTTCTTTCTTTCTTTCTTTCTTTCTTTCTTCTCTCACCTGCATTTATTTATTCATCAAATCAATGTATCTGTCCATCTCACAGCATGGGCAGTTCCTATAGGCGTCCCTGTATATCATTCTAAAATCATAGAATCCTAGGGCTGGAAGGGATCTTTGAGGTCTTCTAGTCCAACCCCTTGCCCAAGGCAGGAATCCTTATTCCATCCCAGACAAATGCTTGTCCAATCTTTTCTTGAAAACCTCCAAGAAGCTACAGCTAATCCTCGACTTACAACCTGGCATGGTGTGATCTTGTTCACAGCCAGGAGTGAGACCAACCTCAGCAGCCTTTAAGCGGCATCAACGCTAAAAGTATTTTTCTTCCTTGATTAAATATACTACACTAAGCATAAGTATGAACAGTTTTGTTTGTTTTCCCAAGCCCTGTTCAAAAACATTTAGTCTTACTTTACCAGATGGGATGGGTATACCAGTCAGGATGTACTTTTCCCTTTGGTCCTGTGTAATGACGGAAAACTAATTACAAGGGGATTTTGCCAGTCTCCATGGTAAGAAGATAATATGTTATTTCCTATTTTTGCTGGTAGCTGGTTGTTGCTGAGTGCTTTGTTTTGTGTGGTAAGATATGCAGATAACCCAGTCTTAGGCATTTATGACATCATTGCTTAGCTAGCTAAGCCTTCATAAGGTCACCTGTTTACCATAACTTAGTCATAGCCTCTCTCTGGTCTCCCAGAGCTGACACACAAGCGTGAGTCATATCTCCCACAGTAGATACTCGGGGATAATCCAAAATCCCTTTCTTTTAGCACTGGAGAACATCAAGAATGACTGAAGCCACCCTGCACTCCCTGGGACCCACCAAACCCAGGTCTTCTCCCTCTTTGTTGCAGCCCCTTAGTCCTTCAACATCTCTGTGAGGGATCTGGCCTCTCCTTTCACTTCCTTACCCGGTAATTCTTCTCCTCCTCAAACTTCTCTTCGTATTTCCTTATCCTCCTCTTCAGGTTTTGCAGGTGCTTCGTGAGTTGTACCATGGTCTGGGGCACTTTGCTGTCCTCGCAGCTGCCTCTGGAAGAACTTCTTGGCCTGGGACATTCAAAATTTATATTTTAAAAAAGTGTCCATTTAGGGTACTGTTTCTACCAAATAAGGGCTCCAGATACCCTGGAGTCCTGTGATGATACAGGGAGATCAGTGGTACGATTCACTCTGGGGTATTGTTTTGCCACCAGTTCGGTGGGCATGGCTTGGTGAGCATGCTTTGCCCGATGCGTGTGCAGCTGTCCCCACACCAGCTGAGGCCTGATGAGCACCAATCAGCTGAGAGGACAAAGAAGAGACAAGCGCAGGGTCAGGTGGAAGGGCCAATCCTGCGCTTTTCTCTTCTTTCCTCTCAGCTGACCATCGGCTTTTTTTTAACAACCAGTTCAGCCAAACCGGTCTGAACTGGTAGCATACCACCACTGGGGGAGATGGAAAATAAAGAGGAAGAGAGAAGAAGACACCAGGGGAGAATGGCAGAAGTGGAAACCTCTCCTGCCCTTGTTTCATTAAGAACTACATACTCTCCAGAAGCCAGCAGGGCGAGATAAATACAATCACCCAAGAAAGAATTAAGCAGCGGCTAAAGGCATAATTATGGTGGTCAGCTGGACAGGTTGGGCAGCTTCAGAAGTGGTATTCAGCCAGTTCTGACCAGTTCTGGAGAACCAGTAGTGGAAAATTTTGAATAGTTTGGAGAACTGGCAAATCCCACCTCTGACTGGCCCCACCCCCATCTATTCTCTGCCTCCTGAGTCCCAGCTGATCGGCTGGGTCTCCTTTGGTTGCCCTGCCCAGGAGAACAGAGCTGGAAAGCAGCTTAGTGGAGTGGGGAGGGAATGGGGATTTTGCAGTACATCCTTCCCCTGCCACGCCCACCAAGCCACACCCACCAAGCCACACCCACAGAACCCCTGAGCAACATGTGAAATGCTCAAAAGCTCCTCCGCATCCACAGGTTCTGGAGTTGTCAAATGATGGATGATTACCAGCAGAAGCTTCCTTCGGGGTGGTGATTCTGCCCGAAAGGCTGGGACACGAATGCCATGGCCTGAACTGGGCCCGGCTAATGATGATCTTCTGGAGAGAATGGCTTCGGAGAAAATCCTGGAGCTCAGCAAAGTTCTCACAAGCCTCACTGAGGGCACTTAAGAGGCCCCGGGATTTTTCTACACTGGCCTTTGCTTTGATTTGCAAGACTGGGGAGATGCAAGTTCCAAACCTATTATCCTATTTTGCACTTTCTTTATTGCGTATCATTGCATATATTTGTTTTATTGTTCCTTTGGATGCAGTTACTGAGTGCGCCTGTCTTAAAGTCTCCTCAGTAAAACGGTTTATACATTCACAAATATACGTGTAAATATTTGGCCTATTTGAGCCTCGGTGGCGCAGTGGTCAGAGTGCAGTACTGCAAGCTACTTCTGCTGCAGCCAACTGCCTGCAATTTGGCAGTTGGAATCTCACCAGGCTCAAGGTTGACTCGGCTTTCCATCCTTCCGAGGTGGGTAAAATGAGGACCCCAATTGTTGGGGCCAATAGGCTGACTCTGTAAACTGCTTAGAGAGGGCTGGAAAGCGCTATAAAGCGTTATAAAGTCTACATGCTGTTGCTATAGCTATATTAATTTTAAATAAACAGTTCTTTTGTAATGCATTGTTTTTGTCCCCCACATCTCACAAATAAAAATATGAAAATGTTCCTGGCATCTTCTTTTTTGTTATCAGAGGCCTCCTTGTCTGAAACTTCTAGTTCTCTGTTCTCCTTTTTCACTCTGTGCTGGTTTGCACGCCAGTGATTTAAAATAGGAGCCACAATATTAACTCGCCTTATAAGGTTATGGTAAGCACTGTCCCTAAATCAACCACCCTGAAGGAATGTTTACAGTGGAGCAGCTTATTAGTTTTACTATTATTAAAAACCTGGAGGCAATTTGCTCTCTTGAATAAACGAATTCATAACTGTTGACTGTTAGCTGATTAAAAAAAAGTTTTTGAAGCTACCAAATAAGGGCCCAGGCAGTCACTTTGGAGCAGGCAGAATCCCTCCTGCAAAACTCAATGTAGTGTGAATGATGCATCTTATCAAGATTTGCAGCTGTGGGAGAAGAGGCTGTGGCCCTTCACTGTGTAGGAAGTTATCACCCACCCTCTCCTAGAAAAATGAAATATCCTAGGAAATATTAACAAGGCAGAATATTTCTCCTAAAAAGAGTAGAAACTCAGAAGCAGAAACTCAGCTCCCTCCCACCTTTGCTAATGGACCATTACTCTAGCCTAGGCCAGCCTATTTTACATAACAAAGATCTACTCCAGGTAGAGGTATAATAGAAATTGCCCATTCCTTTTGATGATGTAATGAAAGGGCTTTGGGCAATTTCTATTATACCTCTACCTGGAGTAGATCATCCAGCCAGGCTCATCCAAGCCTGAGACTCAGCACAGCCTACAGAGTTGCCCCTGCATGGCCCCATGGGAGCCTGACAACCAATCAGAATTCAAATTCAAATTCAAATCCCAACAGAGGGCATAAAACCCAGGCACTTTCAGCATCTCAGCCCTTCCTTCTTCCTTCACTCAAGCCGTGTGGTCCTGTCCACCATTAAACCCTCTTTCCAAGCAGCCTCCATGTTTCCAGTGTCTTTTTCCTCACTTGGAACTGAACCCAGAAGGATATTTCTTCCACCAACTGAGTCTGGGGCACCCCCATGGATGCCAATTTCCCAGGAGGAGGGGACCTTCTGCTTGCCCCCAAAGTGGTGCTTCCGTAAGAAGACAGTTTTGTCCTCAGAGGGAAAACAAGGTTGTTTGCGCTTGGGAAAAGGGAGGTCGGTGCAGCTTACATCATGAAGAGTTGAGTGCTTGGTGGAGAAGGAGCCGATTCGGGGTCTAAGTTAAACCTCTGGCTTTGGCTGAAAATAGAGCAGCGAGGAGACAATAGAGGATAATCTCCATCCGTGATATGATGCAACAGCCTGCAAGTCCCTAAAGCATCCAGGTCTTCGGGCCCATTGTCAGCCTCCATCGGGCCCTCTCGGTACTCCTGAGCAGGCTCTGGAAAGTCAAAGATCAAGAGGTTTCTCAGGGCAAATTCAATATCAGACCCATATTAAAACAGAACTCAAGGGCCACACCAAGAAGGAAACACTTCCACAACAGGCTTGTGATGACCCAAAGGGGTGTGGCACAAAGGCAACACAGCCACATAAGTAAGAGAAGTCCCTTTAATACCTCCAACTTTGCCCCCTATGTCCAGGTTACCTTCGGCTGGAGAAAAAACTCTCCCAAGAATAGTCTTTAAGTGGAGGAAATTCAGTCCCAAAACAAAATACATACAAACTGTAAATAAAAATCCATGCAAACCATGCTGCAGCAATAAACTGGACATAGAGAAGGAATTGCAGACTTCAAAGGCCAACAAAACGCACACAGTTGGGAAGATGCCGGGAACCCAGATAAGCCTTGACAATAAAAAAATAACTCATTATTTGCTTCCCATGAGTTGCTGCACACAATCTCCCTTTTAAAATACTGTGTTCCCAGCTGCAGCTAAAGAAGGGAATCAGGGCCCTTTCCTCCCCCATAAGCCATGCAACTCATGTTGCTCCCTTCTCCGTTCCTCCCTGAGTGCCCTAGGATGAAGAGGGGGTGAGCCTTAATCTTCCTCTGAATTCCCTCTGCCTTGCTCTACCTCTCCCCTGCTCTGCCCAGCCGGCCTTTGTCCTTCCCCAGTTTCTTCCACAGCCAACGGAGGAGCCACACTCCCATTCCCTGTCAGCTGCTCAGCCTCCCCCTCGGAATCAGATTCCAACAGAGGCATGACAGACTAGAATCAAAATGTCCTCCCCCTGAAGATTAGGGTCAGCTAAGGAAAGTATAATTGATACCAGTGACAAACTGCAATTGACACAACTCTTGGAATCAGTTTGCAGATTTAAGAACGCATCTTAGCTGATTCACTTCTTGCTGCCAAATATGTAGCCAGGCTAAACGCTGGAAGGAGGTTTTGCCATGTTCTGGTTTTTGCAAATGAAAGGTACCATCTGGGAGGAAAAAAGGCACTAAATAAACAATAACAATGTTTTTTTTCTATTTACACTATTATCCAAAGCAGCAGCAGATGCTATTTACTGGCTTTACATATTTTTCAGCTTAATTGTTCTCTCCTTTCTACTAATTTGTGTTGTGTACTAAGATAAACAATAGCCATTGTTATTAATGCCCTCTTATTTTAATTTCTTTTCTCCTTTCCTTTCCTCTTTCTTTTCCTCTTTCCTCTTTACCTTCCTCTTTTTTTTCTTTCCTTCCCTTTCTTTTTCTTTCTTCCCTTCCTTTCCTTCCTTTCCCATTTTTATAACTATTAGATCTTGTGTTGTTTACATACACACACACATACACACACACCCAAATGGAGGAATTCTGTGGACGGTTGGAAAGACAGACCCGTTTCTTCTGATCCAATCAAAATATCAAACATGAATTATAAGAAAAGTGAAGCCTGTAACCATTTAACCACAATGTATAAAGCATGCAAAACAAATTGTTCACGATATAAAATTTGTACGCCAGAATGATTTAATAAACCAAATAGCTAACATTTATGAAATGTTTCATAAATTAACAAGTCTGATTAAAGAAACTGAAAGACTTAACATTCTGGCAGGCGTAACAATGCACCTGACTTTGCTTTCGTTCCCATGGTTTCTGCATTGACAGCTTCTATCATTTCTGACCATAGATCAATCAACTCTGCACAATTCATATATAAAGTCAATTTAAATTAAAAAGTAAGTAGAGTTTCTTTCTTTTACATAAATATTTTCCAGCACTTAAATGCCAAGGGGGAAAACATCCCACTAGCAAATAGCAATCCTTAAGAATTCTGCCCAGCCTTTTGTTTTTCTTTTAAAGATGTAAAGAATTGAATGATGGGTCTTTGGCACAGAAGCATGGACTCTGCTGGCACTTAATTCCTGCTGTAGTTTAATTAAGCATTGGAAGAGAACTTTGTATGCAAGAGATGCATTGAAAATCAGACTGCCCATCCATCCAGTGGGAATTAAAGCACTGGGTCAAATCCACATCCAGTGTCCAGCTTAACCTTTGACTTTTTTATTGTTGTTACTATTGTTACTTCATCTGGCCTCAAAATTGAGCTATGGTTTGGAGAGCCTTAAATATTTCCCTTCCCAGAATTTTTTTCTTGGCTGATGCACCCTCTAAAAAGGAGACAGAGAAGGGCTAATGGCAGCAGCAGGAGTAGAAATGTTACATTGGGCCAATGCTTACCTTGGACATCCTATCGTATCCTAACGATAGGATCTCCCAAATACAAAGGAAAACAAAGGATTTGAGTGTCTTAATCATTCTATGGAAGGTTGATTTAAGAAGCATACTTGCACCTCGTGTATGTATGTATTTCTCTATGTATATGTCTATGTGTTTATCTGTTTGTTTAATTAAAATAAATTAATTTTTGTTAGGATGGAGTCGAGCTTTTACAATATATCCTGTTTTCTAAAGCCAGCTGCAGTTATGTGACCCAAATAAAATTAGATACTATTTCCCCCTTATTATGCCCTAAACCAGGGGTGTCAAAACTCAATTTCATTGAGGGCCACATCAGGGTTGTGTTTGACCTTGAGGGGGGGCGGGGGAGGAATGGCCAGCTTGGTGTCGTTCGTGTCAGGGGCGCCTGTGGTGGCCCAAGCGCTCTTCCAGCAAAAACGAGCTCCCGAGCTCCGTTTTTGGCTGTGATGGCTTCCGGCAACCCTTTGCCAGCAAAAACAGAGCTCAGGAGGGGCGTGGTCAGCCCTCCTGAGCTCCATTTTTGCTGGCAGAGGCACCGTGGGCCAGTCCTTTGCTATTTCCACGTGCCAGATCTAGGCACCCCATGGGCTGAATCAAGCCCACAGGCCTTGAGTTTGACACCCCTGCTCTAAGCAGTAATAGATCTTATGTTCTCAAATAATGCCTGAACTCGGTCCCTTTTGCTAGATTCACCCATATACGGCACCACATTCAAAGGCTTCCAGGGACCTTTAATGACAAAAAGCCAAGGGCATGCATCAACCAAAGGTTTTCTTACCACGGCCACAATCTCTCTCAATGTTCGTGCTCGTTGAGGCAGATGAAGAGGCTGGTTCCTCTGAAGCCACCAGCTGAGGACTGTCTTCCTGGTTTAGCAAAAACATAGAAGAAGAGACATCAGTTGCAGAACTGCAGGACAGGTTCACATTTATTTTTGCCCTGTGGGAGATATTCCTTTTTTGGAAGGGCCAAGACATAGTCTGCATTTCCCTTCATGCTCCAGAACAAAACAAGCGGTTTGTCATCCCTTTCTATAGGCAAGTCCAAGAAAGCAAGGTTAGTTATCTGCTTGTGTTCTCTCTGGCTGTCATATCCCAGGTTTCACACAGAACGTATTATCCCATCAATGTACTTTCACACAAAAAAATCTTGCCTTTTTCCTCTATCAAGTGAGTGTGGAGCCCCATGGAAGTGACCTTGAGGAAGCCACCCAGAAGCCATTCGGTCTACCCCATAGACCTGACCTCAGGTTTGTTAGGAGTTCCTCATCCATCTTTATCATCCCTCGGAAAGACGTCCGGATATAAGGAATTCGACATAGACCGAGTGAACAGTGTTGTTCCCAAAACCGTACTCTCATAATCTTGTCCAAATTAGAGGATATCATTGGTCATTCCAGAAAGAAAGGGTTACCCATTGCTCTCATCAATCCCAAGAAAATAAGGAGGAGCAAATTGAGAAACTAATGGTAAAAGAATGGAAATAAGTGCTATGTATAAGTTCTCCATTCAGAGAAAACACATCTTCCTGCATCTAATAATAATAATTATCCCAATTGTGATTAGAGCCCTTGGATCAATACCTAAAGGGCTACCTCACTATTTGGAAATTCTGAATTTATCAGACTTGAATACCCTGATTCTACAAAAGACCACCCTACTGGTGCTATGCAAATAAGATGCAAGTGAAGTCAATTACACAATTGGCTTCAACCTCTGGTGCTATGCAAATGGGTAGCTTGATCTACTGCTGAAGTCTCCAAACTTGGCAACTTTAAGACTTGTGGACTTCAACTCCCAGTTATGCTGGCTGGAGAATTCTGGGAGTTGAAGTCCACAAGTTGTAAAGTTGCCAAGTTTGGGGGCTCCTGATCTACTGGATGTGGTTCCAATTCTCTTTAGCTTGTTGTTGAGCCACTCCTCCCAGCAAATTCTGGGGCTATGCAAATGCAATGCAACTACAACCAGTCATTTCTAGTGCTGGATTCATTTCTAATGCTGCATCATTTTATATATGATGGAAATGGAGGAAGAGCTGCTTTTAGAATGAATCACTGAAAAGACTGTTGCCTAACTTTTCCAATTTCCTCGAAAGCATTTCTACTTTCCTCAACAAAAATAAAGAACTAATTGGGCGTGGCTACCACAAGTGGTATTATGTTTTATACAATGTGATTATATTCCCCCAATACAATTTTTACATAACTTCAATTAGTGTGATGAAGTTTTAAGTGGGGTGTAGCATCTTGTGCTATTTGTAGAGTCAATTCTGAATTATTTGTTAGAATAGATTTAAAAGGATGTTGTATCCTGGCTCAAACCCTCTCCTTCTTCAATAAGGAGAAAATGAGTGTGACATGTGGATTATAATAAATCTGAAGAAAGGGATTTTAACTGCAGAGGTTTCTGGGGCTCTTCAAGGGAAATCATCAAAATCTTATTCACGGGCCAAATGGCCTTTGCGTGTCTTTATTCCATAGTTCTACCTAATCAAGCATAGGAAGTTCTCAGAGTTAAATACAAGCACTCTAAGATTCTCAGAGTTTGTTTTAAGAAAAATATCAAAAGCTTCTGTAGGAGAGACCAGGCTGAGCCCGAAGGAGGGGTCAAACACATCATTAGTCTTGAGTTCCTTCACATCCACAGAGAGACCTAAGTCCAGCATACCTTGAATTCCATTAACTCTTATCTATCGGTAATTTGCCTTGATTGTTAGTAGTTCAGATTCTTGTAGAAAGCTACCATGAAATTAACTTGTACTCATCTTGGACCTGCTCTTGACTCCCAATTTCTTGCACCGCTTCCATTTTTAAGTCCAGAGACATGGGCATGATTTGTTGATGCTCCCTTCAAAATTTCAAGAATTGTTTCACTTACAGCAGTTATAAACCTACTGGGGAGTTTTCATGTGGCTGTCCACAATTTGAACGAAGTCTACAAAACAAGCACATGCAAATTAACCTCGCAGTTCATGAAAAATGCAGAACTATTTTGTTTTCCTTGGCACTCTCCTAAGGTTACCATAGAGCATATTGCGGATTTTCTTCTCAAGCCCTAAGTTCAAGAAGAATATTTGAAGACTTTGGAGAACGGCAAAGAAGGAGGGTTTGTCCAAAGGGAACATTTAATCTGCAGCCCACGTGATCTAAACTCATTAATCTTTGCTGTCCTGCAACAGCAAGTTTTTATCACAATAGAATTTTTATTACACATGTTTCCCACCGAACCCTGCAGATATGTTTTTAATGAGGGTGTTATCCTATGCCCAAAAAACCAAAATAGAAGCAATTATTGTCTCCACTGAGATGTTTCCTCAACAATCTCCAGTTGGTTATTCCCTATTCAACCAAGCCAGGAAAAATCTCCTAAAAATTCTTCCTTGGAAAATGTTTTTCCATATTTATTTTGTTATTCTTATCAGCCACAAAGGCTAATGCTCATCTCTTCCAGTTTTGCACATCCTTTCTCCCTTCTCTAAAACTCACAAAACACTCTTAGGCATCCCATAATATCTTAGAGACTGAAAAAAGTTTTTGGCATCTTCAAAAGCATTTCAATATTCAGAACAGAATGAAAATCGAATCGTGGCCTTGCAAGAATCGCATGAATTATGCACCTAAATCAAGGACACAGTTTATACAATACACAGATATACACCCCAAAAAGGGACCATCAATTTGGATGATCAAACCACAATACAAATGTGCCCAATTGCATAAAAGTCAAGTGCTTCAATGCCACTTTAGCAACCCCCACAAAAAATTGAGCAGCTTAGAAAAGTGATTTTTTAATAAATTACACAGTACGTACAGTATGATGTTAATAAAGAATATCATACAATCATAAAACCCCAATAATGATAGCAACATGACTGTACCACATTCATCAGTGTTTCTGAACCTCAGCCATTTTAAGATATGTGTGCTTCAACTCCCAGAATTCCCCAGCCAGCTGTGCTGGCTGGGGA